ATTCATTTCCAGATGGGTAGGAAATCCCACCATGTTCTTCTATGGATGTGCATGGATCATCTTGTTGACTACTTTTCTATCAATATTTTATGATTATACAATAATGCTGCTTGATACTAACCAAAACTGTACATAAATATTGCTTTTAATTTTTGTATATATTCATTACATACATTTATCATAAATTATTTTGCTCAATTTTTGTTCAACATTGATACTGTTCCCGTAAACATTTTTAGCTTATATATATATATATATATACACAACTATATTCAGAAAACATGAACATTGTGCTTTTTTCTGTAGTTCAAAATATTTTTATCTGATGGTACCAGAAGTGCTACAAGTGACACAATAGTTTGTGCGTCCCTGGTTATTTGGAGTTGCTTTCCAAGGTTTGTTTACTTATGTAGTCTCTCTATCCCAGCAGCCTTTTGCTGTTGAACAAAATTCTGTCTTTGGTTTTGAGATGACTTATGAGGTAGATAATTCTTGGGGCACACGTTGACCAAGTGCCTGACACAGATGCCATCCACACATGCTCATCTCTGTTTATCACAATGCACTTCAGGTGTGAGTAATCATCTATTGTTCAGTATTTCATGAAACCTGTATGCATGAGGAGGAAAGTATCCAATTCAAAAGAGGTTTAGAGAAACTGCCAAGACTCAAAGGCACTGATGAAAATGATTAAAGTTCTGTTGAAAACTGTGCTTCTGGGGAAAACTGAGGCTCATATAAACATATGAGTAGGTAGCTCTGTGGATGTCAGTTGGGGAATGACGTGCTATCTTTGCTTCCAAATATTTCATCTATTGGCCTGAGACAGTGCCTCTCCTCCCTGCCTAGGAAGGACTGCCTTTGGGACATATCCCTGTTGAAATGTTCACTTATGTGGGATGACAACAAAATCAGAACTATTAGTATTTTTTTTTTGATGACAGAGAACATGGACAGAATTAGGTAGTGTCCCCATATCCCCAGATTCTACACCTGTGCTTCTGACAAATTGTGGCTCAAATATATACTTTAAAAATTTCATCTGCCCCACATATGTACATTAATCCTTGTCATTGTTCCCCAAACAATGCAATATAACAAATATTAGCACAGCATTTTATATTGTATTATATTAAGTAATCTATATGTGATTTAAAGTCTACAGGAGGGGGGCTGGTGCTGTGGCATAGTGGGTAAAGCCACAGCCTGCAGTGCCGGCATCCCATATGGGCACTGGTTCGAGACCTGGCTGCTTCGCTTTTGATCCAGCTCTCTGCTACGGCCTGGGAAGTCAGTAGAGGATGGCCCAAGCTCTTGGGCCCCTGCACCTGCATGGGAGACCCGGAAGAAGCTCCTGGCTCCTGGCTTCGGATTGGCACAGCTCCAGCCATTGTGGCTAATTGGGGAGTGAACCAACGGATGGAAGACCTCTCTCTCTCTCTCTCTCTCTCTCTCTCTGTAACTGTGACTTTCAAAGTAAATAAATAAATCTTTAAAAAAATAAAGTCTACAGGAGGATATATGAAAATTTTATGGGAACACTATGCTATTTTATATAAGGGACTTGAGATTTTGGTACCTGAATGGGGGTTTTCTGGCATCAATATCCTGTGAATACCCAAGGTGACTTTAGTTAAGAGTTCTGGAGGGGTGGGCATTTGACATGGTGGTTAAATGCCACTTGGGGTGCCTGTATCCCATATCTCAGTGCCTAGGCTTGAGTCCCTACTTTGTTTCCAGTTTCAGCTTTCTGCTAATTCCCACCCTGGGAGAAAGCAGATGACTCTATTTTTTGAGGGATGTGGAAGATCTACATAGAGTTCCTGGCTCTTAGCTTTTGGTCTGTCCCACCCATGGCTGTTGAACACATTATAGGAATGAATCAAAGAATGGAAGATAGCTATCTGTCTGTTTTTGTCTTTATCTTTCAAATAAAAAAAATGTTCTGGATTAGGAGTCAAAGGAGAGTTTGGTTATTTCAATAACTTTTTGTGTGACCTGGGGAAAGCCACTTATTTAAATCACAATTTTCTTTTTGATAAGGGGACAATGACACCTTCTGTGTCTTTTAAAATTATTATGACAAGATTAAAGTTATTCATATTTTCATACTCTGAATGAATTAAACTCCATACAATGATCAACTCTTTCTTATTTTAGAAAAGCAAAATGACCTTCTGAAAAAAAAAATCGCAGAACTGAGTTTAAATCCAAAATATGGTGCCTATTAATGCAATATAGCTGTAGTTCATGACACAGAACAAATAGGCAATAACTGTTTACTTCTTTTCTTCACTTCTATAATGACTGCCTTTAGGCAGGAGGGACGGATTGGTCATTGGCTACAGGTAATAAGTGGGGTGGTTGATGACAGACACCCTGAGATCATCTCAAGCGTGTACCCACAGTCTGTCTGGGGACTTCTATAGTCCTTTTAAAAACCTCACTTGAAACTTTAGCAATTCATTACAAAACCTAATTATGTAAGTACTAACTACAGACTGTCAGCTGATAAAGCTGGCGACTGACATACTCCTGGTTGGCTGGATAAAATTCTGTCTGGAGTTTTACGTTTGATTGCTGTGATTTGTGATCACTGGTCTCTTTTTTCCTTAAGATTTAAGAGTTCAAGTTGTAGAGGATTTTCTCAAAAATTATCCTGTAAGATCACTCATCTGTGTGCGCAAATTAAGTCGATGTTTGTTTCTGAAGAGGACATGAGCTGAATGCATCCTGGCCTGTAGCTTAGGTGTTTTGTTTCTGCCTGTTTTATCTCACCTTAGCCAAGTGGTGCCTCTTGCTGGTCAGCTGTATGGCTTTGCAGTAGAACAATGTGACATAGAGAACGAAAGGCATTTTTAAAGTTAGAGGCAGGCATTTGGCACATCCAAGTTTCCAACCCCTCAGGCTGTGTGTCAGATGCCCCATTGCACTGTGACTTCCCTGAGGATGCTGAGCGAAAGAACCTTCCTTGTTTAATTTCTAGCTATTAGTACACTGCTTGGAAATGAGGCACTTACAGTTTGTCACATGAATACATACCTGAACCTCTAAGGCATCTTATTCAGGATTGGAAATCAGACAACATGGAATAGGAGAGTAAAATCTAGGTTCCATGATTTGGAAATGCTATCACTCTGTAGATCTAGTCAGTGTTGCAGTAACTTTGCTGTTCTGTTCTTTTTGTTTGTTTTTTAAGAAGGGGGATGTAGAAGCAGTTTCTTAATTTTAATTTTTAAAAAAATTCTTTCACTTTCTATTTGGCACTTTTCACCCCTTGGAATTTCATATCAATGTAATTGCTTTATTTTTTGAGGGATGTGAATCACAGAAATTGACTGCTTGGATGACTAGTTGACTAGTTGAATTCTACAAATCAAGATGAAAATCATTTTCTATACTCATGATTTTAATGTGCTGCACTGAAAAATAATTTATTAGATTGTGATTTTGCTTTAAATTTTAAATATAGTTTGGTTTTAATTTTTATGAAAAATGCTTTTTGATGACCACTAAGATTACATTTCCACATATGGTAGCCTCTGTGTTTTCTATGGAAATGACTTCCATTAGGCTTTGCAATGTGTCATGTTGCTACCCAGAGCCCAGAATTTCTTTTTTTTTTAAACATTTATTTTTAATTTTTTAGTTTTTAACAGTCAATATAGTTAATAGATACAATTCTAAGAATATAGAGTGTCCTTCCTCCCTCTGCATTCCCCCTCATCTCTCTCTTTCTCTCTCTCTCTCTCTCTCTCACACACACACACACACACACACACTCTTTCTTCCAGAATTTCTTCATATCTTCTTTACTGCTCAGGTTGCCTTAGTCACAGAATAACTGAGGACCACAATTCTGGTATGCTTTCTCTCCCCCAGTCCCATCCCCATCTCTCTATCCCCTTCTCTCTGTGGCTCTGCCTTTTCAAATAAATAAATATATATATTTGTAAAGCTGGGTTACTATGGGCAAAACAAAATCTTTTAAATAATCATTGGATTTCAGGGGAATTTCAGGTTTCTTTTTAAAAATATTTATTTGAAAGGCAGAGTTTGGGGGTCAGGGGAGAAAATTCTTACATCCACAGATTCACTCCCTAAATGGCTGCAATGGCAGCGGCTGGGTCAAGCCAAAGCCAGGAGCCCAATATTCCATCCAGTTCTCCTACAGGGAAGGCAGGTGCCAAGTTCTTTGACCATTTTCTGCTGCTTTCCCAAGTGTTTTTTTTTTTTTTTTTTTTTGACCGGCAGAGTGGACAGTGAGAGAGAGAGAGAGAGAGACAAAGGTCTTCCTTTACCATTGGTTCACCCTCCAATGGCCGCTGCAGTTGGTGCGCTGCGGCCGGCGCACCGCACTGATCTGAAGCCAGGAGCCAGGTGCTTCTGCTGGTCTCCCATGGGGTGCAGGGCCCAAGCACTTGGGCCATCCTCCACTGCCTTCCTGGGCCACAGCAGAGAGCTGGACTGGAAGAGGGGCAACTGGGACAGAATCCGGCGCCCCGACCGCAACTAGAACCCGGGGTGCTGGCGCTGCATGCGGAGGATTAGCCTATTGAGCCATGGCACCGGCCTCCCAAATGCTTTTACAGGGAACTGAATCAGAAGTGGAGTAGCCAGGACTCAAATTGGTGCTCATATAGGATGCTGAGGTTGCAGGCAGTGGCTTTACCCACTACACCACAATGCTGGCCCTGAGGCAAATATTGCAATGGAGAAACATAATTGGAAAATGAAATTTGGCCTACTGTTTAAGATAAGGACACATTTGCTGCAGAATTGTGCATATTTGAACTAAAGATTTCTTTTTGGCTAAAAATGATCAAATAGCAAAAATCAATCATTGTCATAGTTCCTGGTCTTTGTTGATGACATCTAAGTCTTCTGAAAAGTAAAGAAAAACCAAACACTTTTCAGAGATGACTTCATGCAGAATAAAATATAATAATTAAAATTTGATATTAAAATTATTTTTAAAGACTTATTTATTTATTTGAAAGGCAGAATTACAGAGGCAGAGAGAGAGAGAGAGAGAGAGAGACCTTCCATCTCTTCCATCTACTGGTTCACTTCTCAAATGGCCACCATGACCAGAGTTGGACCAGTCAAGCCAGAAGCCTAGATTTCTTCCAGATCTCCCACGTGAGTGCAGGGGCCCAAGGACTTGGGCCACCTACTGCTTTTCCAGGCCATAGCAGAGAGCTGGGTTGGAAATGGAACAGCCAGTACCCAAACTGGCACCCATTTGGGATTTTGGCACTGAGGGCAGAGGCTTTACTGGCTAAACCACAACACTGGCCCTGGTATGAAAAGTTTTGAGTCCACAACAGAGCATAGACTGTAGTGCAAACATCAGCTCCTTCCCCCATCTTCCCTCTCTTCTCTCCCTCCCCCCTCCTCTCCTTTTCTCTTTCATGATTGAATATGTGAGAGATCTTCAAAAATTTCATGGAAAATGAATGTTATGAAAAAACTATGCATGAATTTAAGAAAATTTGTACAAAATTAAACTTATCTTTTAGTTCCTTTTTCTATGAATATTTTGAAGCCCTCTAAGATTGTGTGCCAGCTTTATCCCAAGTGCTGTTCTAAGTGTGAAGGAATCAGTTTAGTTTAGACCTCAGTTTTGGTAGAAATAACAACAGTCCATGCCCAAGATCAATTTTGTTTTTTGGTGTGTTTGTTTATTACTTTTTGATTTATTTTTTAAGAAATACAAATTTTATAAGTACAACTTTAGGAATATTGTTATTCTTCCCACCATACCCGCCCTCCCATCCACACTCCCACCCCTTCCTCCTCCCACTTCCATTGCCAGTCCCATTCTCCATTAAGATTCATTTTCAGATAATTTGTACACAGAAGATCAACTCTATACTATGTAGATTTAAATAATTTGCACATACACAAACTGTTTGAGAACTAGTTTTGCAGTTAACTCTCAGAACTCATTGAGGACAGAGGTCCTGCATGGAGAGTTAGTGCACAGTGACTCCTGTTGTTAATTTAACAATTAACACTCTTATGTATGACTTCAGTGACCCCCTGAGGCTCTTGACATGAGTTGCCTAAGCTATGGAAGCCTTTTGAGTCCCCAAACTCTGTCAGTATTTGGACAAGGCCATAAGCAAAGTGGAAGTTCTCTTCTCCCTGTAGAGAAAAGTACATTTTTCTTTTTTCTTTTTCTTTTTTTTATTTGACAGATAGAGTTAGTGAGAGAGAGAGCAACAGAGAGAAAGGTCTTACTTCCATTGGTTTACCCCCCAAATGGCCACTACGGCCGGTGCTGCACTGGTCTGAAGCCAGGATCCAGGTACTTCTTCCTGGTCTCCCACACAGGTGTAGGGGCCCAAGCACTTGGGCCATCCTCCACTGCCTTGCTGGGCCACAGCAGAGAGCTGGACTGGAAGAGGAGCAACCTGGACTAGAACCTGGTTTCCATATGGGATGCCGGGCAGCAGGCGGAGGATTAACCAAGTGATCCAGGGCGCCAGCCCCAAAAGTACATCCTTCTTTGATGGTCACTTCTTTCTACTGGGGTCTCGCTCACAGAGATCCTTCATGCAGAACATTTTTTTGCCACAGTGCCATGACAAATTTTGAAGAGACTGCTGTGTACCTATGAGTTCCAGAGTTGATGGGAGGGAAGGATAATAAGCCAAACCTATTGTTTACTCCTCTTCAAAAGAGTTTGCCCATAGGAGCCCTAGCTCATCTTCTACTGTAACCACCTACACAATTCTCAGCCCTGCCTACCTCAAAGAGTGAACCATAATTCCAGCTTCATGAGCACAGGTTGTTATTTACTATACCACAGCAGGTGAGGTGAAATCCAGCAAGCAGCATTTTCCCTTTGAGGGATTCCCATGTCAGGTGTGACATTCAACTGACAGCAGCAGTGAGATAGCTCAGTAGCTGGCTGTGTCTCCCAGGATTGGCTGGTGCTTCATATATGCAGCCCCTACATCAAGTCAAAGGGAGGTCACAGGAACATCTCCTCTAGTACAGAGAGGTCTACATAGACATCACCAAAGACAGTGCCCAGTCTCACAATCAGGGTCTGGGGGGGCATGGAATCTGAAATTTTTTGATTGGATATATTTTGCTTTTTTATTTAATTTCTAGAAGCAGGAAAGTCAGCTGCGTGGAAGGCCATGACTGGTATGCTTTTGCTGAGCTGCTTGATGTTTCTTTTGCCCATAGAGCCCTGTAGGACATTATGCCAGGTAAGAAAAAGGGAAAAGGTGAACTGGTTGGAAAGCAAATGGGTAGCAAAATCCATTCATTAGTAAACAAGCTCTCAGTTTCCTGGAATCTAAAAAGTAGGGAGAAGACACTCATAGAATGATTGGTGCAGCCAGGGAAATGGCAACTATAGGGCAACAAAACCCATTTCAGCCAATACCTGGAAGTTATTTTCCCATAAACTTTATTTTCACAAATTCCTGAGATGCAGTGATCTCAAATGAATTAAAGGTAATGAAGTCTTCTTCTCATTTCCTGGGATAGGGAGACTTTCAGTTGCTTATAAGCAGGGCGGTGCTGTTTCTTGAGGGATACTTGATAATGTGGGGGTAAACAAAGTTGCCTCAATGATAAGGAGGATTTAGTGACATTTGGTGGGCAAGACTAAGAATGGTCTGGCACAAGGGAGCATTGTCCCACCCAAAATTGCAATGATATCCCCTTTGTGAACTAACAGGAACAATGAGCAAATCAGATAGTCAGTGGTTAAACAAAGTCTAACTGGGGTGCAGGTTGTAACAAAGTACTGTTTTAAATTTTGTGGAGCATTGATCCCTGTCTCTCTGAAGTATTTTCCTCAAAGCCCGGGTCATTTTAATTTCCCTATTAGTTACTTCTTTAAAAAGGTATGGAGAGCATTGAGAGAGAGTACATAAAAATATTCCAAGGGTCTTTGGAAGAGGGTGTTATTGCTTGACCACAAGATCTTGCAAAGAGATCTGAGATGAACTGGTGAACATCTAACTCCCCTACTTTATGATGGGGGAGACTGAGGCCTATGGTGTGCAATGTGACTTGCTTGAGGTATGTCCCTAAAGAGCCAAAGACTGAATATTTATCTTCACTGGGCTTCTTGCTCTTTCCTTTTTAACATGTGCCTTCTTTTAACATGAAAAAATATGACCTTGGAAGTTCCTTTCAAGAGTTTTCCAAATGATATTTACTTACCCATCTACTTAGTTTGCCCTTGGATGGGAACCTTCTCCATGACTCTCCTTCTCCTCAAACTCTGAGCTGATATCTGGTTGTGGGAGAAGTTAGAGACCCCTTTGAACATACCTTATTGTGGAAGCATCTCAGCCTGACAGTTTGGGCCTGTTTCCATCTTTATTCCACTTCCTCATACACATTTTTCTACAAGACAGAGTAAGGAAAATAGGCACAGTATGAGAGGTTGGCTTTGTTTTTCTTGACTACTGGAGATAACTTCTCCAGGAGCATTTTGTCATTTTATTCCCATTATACAAAGCTACTGAATACTGAGCTCTGGGTGCTACCCCTATCCTGACCTGCCCACACACCCAAGCAGCCAGTCCAGCTGGTCAAACTGGTTGCCAGTTTGCAGATGTCTTTTTCACTAAATTAGGTTTGGAGCTGTTGGCATCAGAGGCAAAAGTGGCCCTTACTGGATGCCACCTTAGATATGAAATGACCAAAGGAGTCATATGATGTGTTTGGCAAATTAGCGGGAAGAAGTGAATCACAGGAGAAGGCAGAGTTTCTGTATCTCCCGGTAAACAGCATTCTATGGCATTCTGCCCATGTACCTGATTAATATGATGTGACTTCATTGGAGCTGGTTGAATGGGCCAAGTATTATCCAGAGTTGTTGAATTCTAACAGCATTATCATAGTATATTGATGTTCATGGCCCTATCCAGATGGATTTTTGATACCTTGAGATACCTGTACTTTTTTCTATAATCCTCTGCTTTTTGTGCTTGAACATGAGCTGGCTTTTTTGGAAAGAGCAGGACTGTAGGAGCTAGGAGAGCTAAGTTCTAGTTCTAGAACTTTCTTTTTTCTTTCTTTCTTTCTTTCTTTCTTTCTTTCTTTCTTTCTTTCTTTGACAGGCAGAGTGGACAGTGAGAGAGAGAGACAGAGAGAAAGGTCTTCCTTTTGCCGTTGGTTCACCCTCCAATGGCCGCTGCGGCCGGTGCGCTGCGGCCGGTGCATCGCGCTGATCCGATGGCAGGAGCCAGGTACTTATCCTGGTCTCCCATGGGGTGCAGGGCCCAAGCACTTGGGCCATCCTCCACTGCACTCCCTGGCCACAGCAGAGAGCTGGCCTGGAAGAGGGGCAACCGGGACAGAATCCAGCGCCCTGACCGGGACTAGAACCCGGTGTGCCGGCGCCGCAAGGTGGGAGGATTAGCCTAGTGAGCCGCGGCGCTGGCGTTATAGAACTTTCTATTTGGCCTTGTAAAATTCACCTCATCTACCAAAGCCTCAGTTTTCTTATTTGTAAAATATTTGTAAAATATGAATTGATGATTTATAACGTCTCCCAAAACTTTAAAAATATTTTAACATTCCTGTTTAGAACTTTAACTCTTCCACTTAATTCTCTTCATTATAAAATGAAAAGGCATCTTAAATCAATGACTTAAGGATATTGTCTTTCATGAATCTTCAGTGATACCTTCTTGACTTTGGAGAGACTTCCAAATGTTCATTTCATATTCTCCATAAGTTCTTATTTGATAGGGAAAACAGAATATTCAGCATTGTTTCTTGATAACACAGAAAAGAATAATATTGTTAATGAAGAAGGGACATTAGTCCCAAGTATTTTTTTTTTAAAGTTTTATTTTTATTTATTTTTATTTTTATTTTTATTTATTTATTTTTTTGACAGGGAGAGTGGACACTGAGAGAGAGAGACAGAGAGAAAGGTCTTCCTTTGCCGTTGGTTCACCCTCCAATGGCCGCCGCGGCTGGTGCACTGCGCTGATCCGATGGCAGGAGCCAGGAACCAGGTGCTTTTCCTGGTCTCCCATGGGGTGCAGGGCCCAAGCACCTGGGCCATCCTCCACTGCACTCCCTGGCCACAGCAGAGAGCTGGCCTGGAAGAGGGGCAACCGGGACAGAATCCGGCGCCCCAACCGGGACTAGAACCTGGTGTGCCGGCGCCGCTAGGCGGAGGATTAGCCTAGTGAGCCGTGGCGCCGGCCAGTCCCAAGTATTTGATCACTGAATTTCCAGTTTCTTCTCCAGTGGCTTAACTCTTGGAACACAAGTTGGAGTTACTGGACCAAAGCTCTTCCTAGACACTAGGCAGCACTCTTCTGGTGCAGAAACAAAGCCTTTCAGTATCTCCTCCCATACACATACACACATTCACATATATAGCAGAATGTATACCTACACACTAATAATGTATATATGCAGATATATATGTGTAAGACTGAACTACCTCCTTAGGGTATGCAAAGAAGCACAACACACAATCCTTGCTCTTAAGGAACTTAGAATTTAATTGAAAAGATAATATGCTTATATAAGAAGAGTAGATAGCAAGACAGCAGGTGAGTATATGCGAAGCATTGAATGAAGGGTATGGATAATAAATACTATGCAAGCTGGATAAAAAAATGCATCAGGAAATAATGGGTCAGGAAAGACTTCTTGGAAGAGTAAAACTTGAGCTTTATATGTAATTGGCATTCAGTAAGTTTGTGTCCAGAAAAATAACAGTAGTTAAATCTTAACTAGCATTTACAGTAAGTGTTCTAAGTGTTTTCCATAGATGATCTCATTTATTCCCCCTTAAAACATGCTATCTATAAGTATCATAAAATTATGGTGCTGTAGTTCTTACTCTAGTTTAGAGATGAGGAATCTGACATTTCAGAAAGGTGAACTTTCCCACAGCCTCAAGTGATGGTTTTGGATGTCTTCTCCCAGAGTATACCACCTGACCCATCATAAACCACTTTCTCGGTGGGGGTCAGGTTTGTTATGAGTGGGTGGGATAGAGAAGATGTAACTGAGAGAGCTGGGAAGGCACATGATAGAGGGGAGCTAGGTTTTGGAGGTACCCTCTTAAGGAAAAAGAACACAAAATTACAAATAGAAATTTAATTGAAAAGTGGATAGTTGCCTATAATAATAAAGGAAGTTATAACAAATTTCAAAATGATGAAAAAATATTACATTCAGTAGTTATCTAACATTATTTGGTAATATGAACTGATGGCCTTTCTGTTCCAGCATTTTTGGCTTTATACCTGCATGCCAATAATTTTATAACTTTTTTCTGTAGAAAGAAGGGTTATTTAATCTTTCTTCTAGGTTACTGCTCAAATTTTTTTTATTATTGCTAGATTAGAAAAGTAATATTCAGTTTATCAATTATTTCTTAGCAATGTCATGTAAATATGTAGCACTATTGTCACATTTGAGAAAATCTCTATTATGTTTCTTTCATATGTGCATTGCAAGGTATCAAGGCACTTGGAATTTTCTTATTCTGTGACTAATTGTTAGAACTCATAGAATTAATGCCACTTACCTGTTGATATCCTCATTATAATGCAGAAATAAATGCAGACTATAGAAGTATATACTATTCAATCCTAATTAAAAATATCTCCAACTCAACTCCTTTTCCACATTCCAAAAATAGATAAGTTCTCTAGTAATACCCAAAATGAAGAAGAATAGGAAGGAGGGGGATTTGGCCTGGCAAAACAATGATGGTCTTAACAGATAACAGGCAATAAAAATATTTCGCTTTTATTCCTTTTTTAAACTTTTATTTAATAAATACAAATTTCCAAAGTACAACTTTTGGCTTATAGTGGTTTTTCCCCCCATAACCACCCTCCCACCCACAAACCATCCCATCTCCTACTCCCTCTCCCATCCCATTTTTCATTAAGATTCATTTTTAATTACCTTTATATACAGAAGATCAATTTAGTATATACTAAGTAAAGATTTCAACAGTTTGCTTTCGAAAATTTGCTACCACATATAAGACTGTGAGCACATTGCTAGATCCACTCCTAGGGCTTCAAAAGAGCCCATATAAGCAAGGCACTCTGAAACTTCATCTTTACAAAGTGACTAGGAAATCTACCTCTGCCCACAAATGCATTTAGTCCCTGGACAGAATGTAGGCCATTCTTACTGGAGAGTAAGGAGGGCTCCTACTGAATCAATAGCAGGGAGAGAGAAAGCTGTCCAAACTGCAGGGGAAATGGGAGGATGGTGCCACATTTCACGGATTCAGCTTTTGGTGGCCTTTTTGGGGTCAAAGCTAATTCATGTGTGGTTGTTCATCTGTAACTATGCTGAACCTTTGTGCTGGCCTATTTGATTTTGATATGAATTTTTTTCCTATCTAGGCTGCCAGCAAAAGCAAGCAGAAGGTGTCTGCCAAGCCACATGGTATGTTGACTGCCCTCTTTAGTGCAAGTTTGGCTGTTCATTTATTGTCACAGAGGACCATACTCAGCCCTCAGTATTGAGACATGGCACATAGGATTCCTTTATAGCCTGTCTTTGCACCTCTGGTATTAAATTGTGCCTTTGACCTCCACCTTCCCTGTGTGCTCCAAGCACCCTCTACTTTGTCTTAGTCTAAGAACTCTTTGCCATAAATCCTTTAGATTGAGCCACTTTAAATGGGGGAAGTAACTAGAATGTGTCTGTGAGAACCTGAAGATGATGTAACTCATTATGAAGTTCTGGAGCTCGGAGGCTTTTTAGAAAACATCTGGGATAACGGATTCAGGCAGCTCTAGAGTTCTAAGGAGGTGCTCAGTGGTCCCTGTGGGGGTGACACAGTGGACTGAATTTTGGGCTCATCCTTCTCACTTTGACTGGGCAGCTTCACTCCACTGTTACTTATTTTAAACACTGGAGTTCATCATAATATGTTGTTACAAACAATAGGCTATGGTTGCTCAAATATATTATGACCACTGTTCTGTTTCTATCTCCCTCCTCTTTACAAAGAAAAAGACACCTGTGTGCTTTCACAACAGGGAAACCGTGATGATTGTCCTAGTGCCACTCAGAACTCATACCTTTCCATCTCATATGGACACCTTTTATTTTCTCAGGTATATGTGATGGTGTCTGTATGGACAATTCCCACTGCAGTCAACCTTGCCCTCCAGACACAGAGGGAACTATGGGGTTTGCATGCCGGAAAAAGAAATGGCACAAGATCACTGATACCTGCCGAACTCTAAATGCCTTCAACATCTTTGAGGTAATATCTTTTAACGCATAATGTGATCATGTGATCTAATGAGCAAAGCAGAGCTGCAAGTTAGCAATGTATACTGCCCTCAAGAGGAGGGAGGAAGAACGTTAGGCAGAGCAGTACATAGGTATGTATTTGTGAATGTGTAAACAGCTATGTGAAGACTGTTTACATAACAATGGTGTTGTAAACTTTGTATACCTTTTCATGACAGGAAGGAAATGGGTTATTTAGGTTAGAGCTAGAGGAGGTGCTTAGATTATCACGGTCTTCTCCATTTTCACCATCAGCCCTTTATTTTTTTATTTTTATTTTTATTTTTTTATTTATTTTTTTTTTATATTTTTTTTTTGACAGGCAGAGTGGACAGTGAGAGAGAGAGACAGAGAGAAAGGTTTTCCTTTGCCGTTGGTTCACCCTCCAATGGCTGCCGCGGCCGGCGCGCTGCGGCCGGCGCACCGCGCTGATCCGATGGCAGGAGCCAGGAGCCAGGTGCTTTTTCCTGGTCTCCCATGGGGTGCAGGGCCCAAGCACCTGGGCCATCCTCCACTGCACTCCCTGGCCACAGCAGAGGGCTGGCCTGGAAGAGGGGCAACCGGGACAGAATCCGGCGCCCCAACCGGGACTAGAACCCGGTGTGCCGGCGCCGCTAGGCGGAGGATTAGCCTATTGAGCCGCGGCGCCGGCTTATTTTTATTTTTTTTTTGACAGGCAGAGTGGACAGTGAGAGAGAGAGACAGAGAGAGAAAGGTCTTCCTTTTGCCGTTGGGTCACCCTCCAGTGGCTGCCACAGCCAGTGTGCTGCGGCTGGTGCGCCACGCTGATCCGAAGGCAGGAGCCAGGTGCTTCTCCTGGTCTCCCATGGGGTGCAGGGCCCGAGGACTTGGGCCATCCTCCACTGCACTCCCTGGCCACAGCAGAGAGCTGGCCTGGAAGAGGGGCAACCGGGACAGAATCCAGCGCCCCGACCGGGACTAGAACCCGGTGTGCTGATGCCACTAGGTGGAGGATTAGCCTAGTGAGCTGTGGCGCCAGCCTCCATCAGCCCTTTAGTACCTCATGCCTCAACACACAAAGCATCCTTCACTGACCAGTGTCATCCCTGAGCACTTGCTAGACCCAGAATTTAGGCCTCACCTCAGACCTGTTAAATCATACAAGTGTTTTATAAAGATCTCCAGGTGATTATATTCTCATTAAAGTGTGAGAAGCAGGCCTACCTAAAGGGAAGGACTTAATATCATCAAGCAGAATATTTCCACACATACTAAAGTAATTACATGTTTGTTCTAACCAAATTCTATTTGGGCTGGGTGTTTGGTACAATGGCTAAAACACTGATTGCATCCTTTATAGAAGTGGTTGTATTTGAGTCCCAGCTCTGCTTCTGATTCTAGATGGTCAAATAATTGGGTCCCTGCCATCCCCATGGTAAATCTGGAGTGGGTTCTGGACTCCTGGCTTCTGCCTGGCTCAACTCCAAATGTTATGGCATTTAGAGAATTGTCGCTCCCCCTCTTCGTGGAGGAACGACACAGGACCCTGCGCTGTTCTTTTGTCTGCTCGGCCCTCCCCGGGTTTGCTGCTGGTTCTTCCCGGGTTGGCTACTGTCCCTTCCACCTCCGTGGAAGGGCAGTTCCCCCTGGCCACTTTCCCCACTTCCGCAGGGGAGCGGCACACCACCGGCCGGCTCTCTCGGGGGTTGCACAGGTGTTCCTTCAGATAGATGTTCCCCTTAGATGTTCCTGGTGCATGTTGTCTCTCTCCTCCTTTATAGTCCTCTTCCACCAATCCCAACTCTGCTACCCACACGCCGAGTACGCTGCTCTCCTCCAATCAGGAGCAGGTCCTACAGTTTATTGGTTGAACTGGAGGCAGCTGTGTAGAAGCTGTTTCGTCCTCTCCCAGTGCCATATTGTGGGAGAGCAGATGCATAGAATAAGTCTTAATTCCAGTAACTTAGTCTAGTCCGAGTTGCTCCCCACAGAGTGAACCAGTGAATGGGAGATCTCTGTTTCTGGGCCTTCCAAAATTCTAGTAAATAGAATCAGGTCAAATGTCATTTCTTCTCCCCCCCGCCCCCCCCCCCTTTGTCTAAAAGGGGCTTTATCTTTCTGAAGTTCAGCTCCTGCTTCCTTCAGAGGAGTCTGGGCTTTGGCATTTCTTCTGTCTTAGGAACATCCCCATTCTCTCTTTTGGGGCCTATCTGTGGTCAGGGCCAGTGGACATTTTGAGTCTCTTACCAGGCCTCAGAAAGCCTAGCATTCCTAACATTTGGGTGGCTTGAGCAAAGATTCATACTTAAACTCACATATTGCATGTTTTAATATTTCAATGCTTTAAATGAAACATACAAACTGCTGATAAAATATGTTCTGTCTGCCTCCCATCCCAGATTCCACCCTACACCTCAAGGGTAGTGAACAGCTATGGCTACACATCTATAACTCTGAAAACAGGTGCCCCTGAGCTACCTCTAGGAATAGGAGCACTGGTATCCTGGTTCATCCTTGTCAGGGCGATCTTTGGAATAACCCATGAAAGCCTTGAAAGTGGGCTTCAATGTGTGGAGCAATTCAGGTGTCTGGAAGCAAGCAGGTGGGCTCTGGGTAGGCACATCTTCTAGGCCCAAGGACTCTTGACTATGCAAAGGGGCAGGCTGGTGAGAGGCCATAAAAGGGTCCTCTTAAGTAAGGACCAGCAAACTTTTTCTTTAAAGGGCCATATTTTAGGCTTCGTGGCTCACTTGGTTTCTGCAGCAACTACTCGGCTGTTGTCGCATGAATTAACTGATTGAGTTTCAGCCAAATTTTATGTAAAAAAAAAAAAAAGCCAGCCAGCCTGGGGCCATAGTTTGACATACTTGGTCTAAAATGTGGGACCCTGAGCCTGAATCTATGGGAGATACTATCTATCAGTATTTTTAGTCATTCTTTTGTCTTGATGCTCTAATTGATTCATCTAAGTCCAATTCAGAATTCCTGATTTTAAGATATACTCATGTTTCATGCTTTATTCTTCAGGAATAGCAAAAATAAACTTAGATGGAACTAGAATATACATGCAGGATATGTACCAGAGGGCATTTTAAATGATGCTAGAAGTAACAATTGCTATTTGAGGGGAGAGACTAAGGAGTAGGCAGTTAGGAAACTGAGACTTTCATTTTCTGATTCACACACTTTGGTACTGGTCAAGGCATTCCACAACAAACATGACTTTGAAAATAGAAAAACATTATGCAATATGCAATTATATAATAAGGCTGTCCTAAGTTTTAGTAAATGTACTTTTACTTTTAACACAAAAATAACATAATTAAATTTTCTTTTATTTTACCATATCTTAGGGGGATTCATATTCAGTTCAACCATTCGGAGAAAATATAAAAGTAAATACATATGCTGGAAAGTCTGAGACCATAGCAGACATGTTGATGCAAAGGTGCCCAGCAGATTTGTCTTGTGTACTTAGAAATATTCAGAAGTCTCCACGGTTACCAGGGAACATCGCTTTCATTGTGCAGCTCTTACACAACATATCAACAGTGTTGTTGACAGATATTGATGAGGCAAAAATGCAGGTGAGCAGCCTTGAATATGTGCTACAGCATTTGTTCATTAAGAAAGGAATGTTGGTTAGTTGGAGTATTCTGTGAGGTTCTTGGGGGCTGGAGACTTTAGTATTTCCAATGCCTAACATAGCAAGTGTTCAACAAATCTTCACTGAAGAAAGGATGAATAAACAAATGGGAAAAATAAACACATTTAATCAACAAGCATTTATAGAAAGCAATTACTTAGTTATGGTGGATGTTGGAGTCTGCTTTTCCAATTTAGATTTTGGTTATTGAAAACCTCTAAGAAACATTCTATGTACTACAGAGAGAAAGAATCTTTTCACTTTCATTTGTAAGTGAAAACAGGTTGCTATAATGGAAAATAATGTTATGCAAAGAAAACAGCCATATATATCTGGTGAAGAGATGTGAAATGGAATTGGCACCGTTTCTTTTGTTTTTGGTCTTTGAAACAGAGGATAGAAAACATATATTCAGCCTTCGGGGTCAATTTCCAAATTAGTAGGTTTCTGAACAGGATTTTGCAACACAGTTGGTTTTTAAGAAATGTTTATTACATGATGGCTACTCTGACAAGGGTAGGAAAATTACTAGTTTCACCAAGACATGAAGTGGAGTGATGATGGAAAGTATGTGAAGGCTGCCCAGCTGCCTATCTCACAAACAGAGGAGGGAATGGTAAGACAATTCTCTTGTAGCTCAATCCTTCAGCTCAAACTTGCCTGTGCATATAAGGAGACCTGGAGACCTCATGAAGATATTGATTCTGATTCATGAAGTCTGGAGTGGGTCCTGAGATTCTGAGTGTCTAGGATGTGCCCAGGAGATGACCATGCTGTTGGTTGGAGGATCACACTATATAAAAGTGTAACTTGAATATACTGGCAGTTTCAGAGAGTGGCTCAGTACTAATACCAGTTCTTTGTTTGCAGAGTTACAGCACCATGGCCAACCATATTCTCAATAGCAAAAGCATCTCAAACTGGACCTTCATTCCTGAGAGGAACAGCAGCTGTGTCCTGCTCCAGTCAGTCAATTCCTTTGCAAGAAAGCTGTTCCTAAATAAAGATGCCATTGACATATCTGATGTCTTCATTCACACCATGGGCACCATCGTATCTGGAAACAACACTGGAAAGAATTTCACTTTTTCAATGAGAGTTAATGATACCAACAATGAGATCACTGGGAGGGTACTGATCAGCAGAGATGAACTTCGGAAGATGCCTTTCCCTTCGCAGGTTGTCAGCATTGCATTTCCAACCCTTGGGGCCATCTTGGAAGCCAGTCTATTGGAAAATGTTACTGTGAATGGACTTGTTCTATCTGTCATTTTACCCAAGGAACTTAAAAGAATATCACTGATTTTTGAAAAGATTAGCAAGTCAGAGGAAAAGAGGACACAATGTGTTGGTTGGCACTCCCTGGAAAGCAGATGGGACCAGCAGGCCTGTGAAATAATTCAAGATAATGCCCATCAAGCTGTTTGCAGATGTAGGCCAAGCAAGTTGTTTACCTCTTTCTCTATTCTTATGTCACCCCACATCTTGGAGAACCCTATCTTGACTTACATCACATATATAGGCCTGGGCATTTCTATTTGCAGCTTGATTCTTTGCTTGTCCATTGAAGCCTTGGTCTGGAGCCAAGTGACAAAGACAGAAATCTCATATTTACGCCATGTGTGCATTGCCAACATTGCAGCCACCTTACTAATGGCTGATGTATGGTTCATCGTGGCTTCCTTTCTTAGTGGCCCACTGACACACCACAATGGGTGTGTAGCAGCAACGTTTTTTGTTCATTTCTTTTACCTTTCTGTGTTTTTCTGGATGCTTGCTAAGGCCCTGCTTATCCTCTATGGGATCCTAATTGTTTTCCATACCCTGTCCAAGTCAGCCCTGGTGGCATCTCTCTTTTCAGTGGGCTATGGGTGCCCCTTGGTCATTGCTATTATCACGGTTGCAGTCACTGAGCCAAGCAAAGGCTACCTACAACCTGATGCCTGTTGGCTCAACTGGGACATGACCAAGGCCCTGCTGGCCTTTGTGGTTCCAGCTCTGGCCATTGTGGTAGTAAATCTGATCACAGTCACTTTGGTAATTGTCAAGACACAGCGAGCTGTCATTGGAAGTTCCATGTTCCAGGAAGTGAGGGCCATTGTGAGAATCAGTAAGAACATTGCCATCCTCACCCCACTTCTGGGACTGACCTGGGGATTTGGAATAGCCACCGTCATCAATGATAGCTCCCTGGCCTTCCACATTATCTTCTCCTTGCTTAACGCATTCCAGGTAAGTCCATTTGCTTCTAACTAAGCCAAAGTGAGAGAATTTATGAAGAGGCTTTATGATCAGAATCTTGTGGCATAGATTTCTATATAGAAGATTACAGATTCAGAATAGAACATTGAGTAAGGAAATAAATTTTTGTTCCAGAAAGTCCTGGGTTTGTATTCTCACTCTTCTCATTTACTAATAATGTATAACATGATCTTAGGATATTTACTTAACTTTTTCAAACCATATTGTCCTTACATGTAAAATAGTATAATACTGCCCAATTTACAGGATTGTATGAAGAATTAAATAAATGGTGAATGAGTAAGTATTGAGTAATAAAATGATCTAAAGATCATAAACAGTCTAGTAATGGGCTGAGTTGTTACTGCTTAGAAAGCAAGAAATAACACATTTCCTAAAATTTAGGTATATAACTGGAGGTTATTATATTTCCACTCACTTAGAATTTATTGTTACCATTAAAAACCATATTATTTTAAAAAGGCAGGCCATATAATGTGGTATGATAAATCTCTTCTGTTCCCTCATCTCATTTCCAAGAATTAAGCAATGTTCACAGTTTTGTGTGGAATCTTCCCAAATTTTCTGTGCTTACACAAGTATTCTCTCATATAATATAGGGGTTAAAAACCAATGCATACTATTATGCAACTTGCTTTCTTATTTAAAAATATACCCTAGATACACCCTAGAGTTTTGCCCGAGTTCTCTCTCTGTCTCACTGTCTCTCTGTCTCTCTCTCTTTCAGGGCTGTATAGATTTCCATATTCTATAATTTCCTACTCGATTAATTTTTTCTGTTGTAGTATACTAACAATCCAACATTTTTATATTGAATGCTAAATGTGTGTATAGTAATTAAATTAAAATAAAGCATTTATTTTTCTAAAGTTATCTAAAATACTACTTCATTATGGAATGAGGTCAGTAATCATTACAGTAGTCAGTAAAACTATTTTAAAATAAATGTATCAACAAATTGATAATAGAGATTTTAAGTTAAACATCTTTCTATTTTTCTCTTTATGAATCTTATTTTTAAAAAAATTTATTTATGTATTATTTATTTGAGAGGCAGAGCTATATATAGAGAGAAGGAGTGACAGAGAGAGACATCTTCCATCTGCTGGTTCACTCCCTAAGTGGCCACAATGGCTGGAACTGGGCCAGGAGCCTGGAATTTCATCTAGATCTCCCACACAATGGCAGGGACCCAAGCACTTGGGCCCTCTTCTGCTGCTTTCCCAGGATTATTATCAAGGAGGTAGATTGGAAGTGGAGCAAACAGGACTCAAACTGGTATCCATATGGGATGCCAGCACTGCAGGCGATGGTCTAACCCACTATTCAACAACTCTGGTCCCAAAATAACTTATTTTTATAATAAAAGCCTTGATGTCTTGGAGAAAAATGTTAATACTAATAGTGGTGTTTCATTTTTCAAATCTGCTTTTTTTTAAAAACCATTTGTATAGCTTTTAGCAATTTCAGTTGTCTTACATTTACTTACAAAAGTGGTCATTGGTTGGATTGAGATAAAAACCCACTTTTCCCAAATTTCAGTTCAGTATGTCCCATGCCTCTTCTTCATGAAACCTTAATGAGCTCATGTCTCACTCCATATATTTTCCTTTTCTTGTCTCCTTGAGGCCATTTCATCTGTGATTTTTGTTTTGAACAAGCCTATGAGTACTTGTATTTTGATATTATGAGCACCTTTACCTGTCATAATAGGATCAACTTGTTGTTTCAACTCAGTTTCTACCTTGATTCCTGACAAGGAATGGGGTGTGACCCATTTAAGTGCCAGTGTCCATAAGCAGTTAGGAGCTGAGAGCAAAGTGTGGTTGAGGGCCAGGCACTGTGGAGGGCAGTAGGTAGTGCTGTGCTGGAGCTGGCTTGTGCTGGCTCAGGAGAAATGACTGTGATTATTCAGGTTTTTTACAAGATGGTAGTAAACACAGTCATCAGTAAAAATTAAATTATGTAGACTTGCCATGAACTAAATTAGATTAAAAACAAAGATCATGCATCCTCAGAACTTATCACTTTCTAATTGTTTGTCTACATTTTATTATGCCCTGGAGGTTGTTTGCATCTATTATACCTGCAGGGTGGAAATATAAGTGATGAGTAATAGCTTTCTGCTGCCCGTCTCTTCCTTATTTCTTGTTTGATGATGGTCTACAACTGAATTTAAATCAGCTGTGGTGGGAGTCTTTGTAGAAATTGGCAAGCACTACCAATGAAGACAGTTGGTCATTGACATGTACGAGCATATCGATGGGTCAGGGCATCCTTGGTGTGCCAAGTGGGGGAAAAGAGAAAGAGTAGCCATGGGTCCTGAAAAAGGGAGATACAATAAAATGGGTGGGAGGAAGCAGGCGACATAGAGTCTTAGGGTGAGAAGAGCTGAGAGGCATCGAGGATTGCTGGAGTGGGTGGAGCATAGAGATTCTGGCACATGTTAGGAGGCACAGAAGATACAGGAGAAGGACCTGTTAAAGATCTCTGTGCTCTAACCCTGGTGGAGTCTATCCACTCGTCTTAAAGCTCAACCATTCCCTATTATTATGTAGTCAGTTGCTATCCTGACTGCCCCTCTTGTCAAGCCACACCTCCTGGCGGGTATCCTACCTTGTACTTTCTGAAACTAACCGTGGTCTGGGTGAGGTTTTGAGATCCCTCACAGCTGTTTTGGTGGGAGAAAAATAAACAGACATATTAAACCCTGGGGGAACACCTGGAGGTTTACGTGCTCCCATTGGGCTTCATCTACTAAAAGAAATTCAAAAGAACTGCTACCAATGTAGTCTCTATAGGTATATTCTCTCACCCCTTCTCTATCAGATACTAAAATTTACAACTTTTTTTAACCTAAATTTGGGTGATACTTTGCATAATTTTCTTTTTTTATTTATTTACTTGATAGGTAGAGTTATAGACAGTGAGAGAGAGAGAGACAGAGAGAAAGGTCTTCCTTCCATTGGTTCACTCCTCAAATGGCTGCCACAGCCAGCGCTGCACCGATCCGAAGCCAGGAGCCAGGTGCTTCCTCCTGGTCTCCCATGCAGATGCAGGGCCCAAGCACTTGGGCCATTCTCCACTGCCCTCCTGGGCCACAGCAGAGAGCTGGACTGGAAGAGGAGCAACTGGGACAGAATCTGGCACCCCGACCGGGACTAGAACCCGGTGCCCATATGGGATGCTGGTTCTGCAAGGTAGAGGATTAACCAAGTGAGCCAGCCGGCCCTCTTTGCATAATTTTCCCCGAGTTGGCACGGATCAATGAAAAGTAATATTGGTGGCCTATTTCCTCTCACATATTTAAGGCTATACTGAATGAAAAGGTACATTTAATTTGTTTTAAATTAGTTACCTGACTGGGCACAGGTCCTGTAAAGTCTTCCACTTCTCGGCTGATCTTTTGTCAAATTTTGGTAACAGAAAGTTTGCTATTCTAACTGAAGAACTTCCAGTTGTAATGTCTTTATGCTGCCAGTTGTATGAAGATGCTTCAGAAAATTCATAGAAAAATGAAATTAAGATATGCTTAGTTTGGTGGACAAATTTTTTTGAAATCCACACATAGTTTATTCATAATATATATTTTTCATGAACAATTTGAAAATCCTTTGTATTAAACCCACGTGCCTTAACTAACTTCTGGCTAGGGATGAGTTCACGTTCACCTTTAAATACAGAGAAGTTTAACGGGGAATTGGCTAAGTAAAAGGTCATCATCTCACCTCCATTTTTAGATGAGCTGAGACTTGAGTATTTGCATGTTCAAGAGGAAATTCTTTCTAGTGGGTGCTGCTATTACATTTTGAAAGATAGATCTCTGAGTTTCTCTTTCCTTACCTGAATAATGGGGCCACTGCTTTCCCTTCCTTCTTCCAGGGTGGTTTCGTGCCAGTGGGTGTGGGGAAAAAAGGTAGAAAACTCAAATGGATGTGTCTGTGGAAGAATGGGATGCTTTTGACTTTATGAGGTCTTTCTTTGTATGTGATAAAGTTAATTAACTCCCTCTATATTATCTTATTTGGAACACCATTATGTGCTTAGAAACTCAATCTATGGAAGGACTTCAAAAAGCTGGCAGAAAATTTGAATCTTCTTTTAATTTCAGTTATCCACCAACTTTTTGAAGTATATTTGTTTTGGTCTTACTCATTTTTCTGAGGATCATATACATGATTTTTCTTTGAAAGTTTTATATTTTTGTTGTGGATGGGAGAAGTAACTTGAGAATATTATGAAAGCAGAGAATGGCTGTTTCTGTCCCTTTTTGAGGAAGTTTCTTATGTTACTTATTGTTCAGGGATAGCAAGGTGACTGTGTGTTGCCCAACATCTCTGATTCTTCCTTGGATGATCATCATATTCTAATAGGGGAAGCACAGCTACTGCTAAATACAAAACATCTTTCTTGTGCTCAACGTAAAAAGTAATTTCTGAGATGCACCTACAGAAAGCAGGGACCTGGTCTGTGGGTGTGTGACAGTATCCCATGTGTCTACAGCATTGCATAGCATATGGAAGATGCTCCTTGAATATTTTTTGAACGAACAAATGTAAGTGTTGTTACCTTAAGGTGAAGCTAAATGATTTAATAAAGTTGTTTTCTTTTTACCAAAATAGAAACTGATCATTAATACTGATATTTGTTGTTATTGCCATCACTATTTTGTTAATGGCTATTCTTCCATCTTCCATCTTTCACAGGGCTTCTTCATCCTGGTGTTTGGAACAATCCTGGATCCAAAGGTACTCTATAGATTGTTTTTTATTTTTTCTACATTATCAGTGTTTGGCCCTGAAATGCTCACTTGTGAAGACCACTTAGCAAGAGGCTTTTACCTCAGTCATTTGTGCTGACACATGGACAGAGCATTGCTGCTTTTTACAATGCAAATGATATCTACTATCCTTCAAACTCTTATGGGATTGTTTCATGTTCATTAGCTCTAATCCTTATAGAAATCTTCAGTATTACTATTTTCAGTTTTACAGATAAGGAAACAGATTCAAAGCGATTAAGTAACTTGTTAAAGATCTCTACAGAAACCCACCCTGATTAGTTGAAGCAGAAAGGACATTATTAAATCTCACAATCTCATCTTTGGCTTGACAACTTAGTGGCTGTCCTCCAGGAATATTTTCCCTTGCATAGCACAGACCTGCTCCTTGAAAGATGCTACTGCTTCTCCTCTTTGCTGGGCACAGAGAACATGGCTCACCAGGTCAATGTCAGGCAGAGGAGGCTTGAGATAGAGCTGCTGCTATTGCTGCTTGGGGATCATTTTCAGCCTTGTCTGCTGAATCTTCCTGGCACCTACTCTTTTGCATTGTCAGGTCTGATTGGCTAAATCCAGGACACATGGATGCACCTATATTGCAAGGTTGGTGTAATAATGAGTTCTTGTCTTCTACCTTAAAGAGCAGTGGACACAAGGAAGGAAGTTCACCAAAAACAGATGAATGTTAGTAGATGGTGAAAATAAATGAAAACTAAACAGAGGGGCAAAACACCAAATATTTACTCAGACTCCAAAGATCATCCTCTGTCCAGTGTACCACTTTGTCTCCTAGAATAAGCAGTGCAAACAACCATCTAAAAGGTAGAAGCAAACAACTGCTGTCAAATAAATAAGTAAATTTTTAAAAATGGAAAAGTAAATACCACCAACCAATCACCACCAATAACAACACAACACCATGGAGTTTTTTATTTTTATTTTTTTTTATTTTTGACAGGCAGAGTAGACAGTGAGAGAGAGAGAGAGAGAGAGAGAGAGGTCTTCCTTTTGCCGTTGGTTCACCCTCCAATGGCCGTTGCGGCCGGCGCGCTGCGGCCGGCTCACTACGCTGATCCGATGGCAGGAGCCAGGTACTTCTCCTGGTCTCCCATGGGGTGCAGGGCCCAAACACTTGGGCCATCCTCCACTGCACTCCTGGGCCACAACAGAGAGCTGGCCTGGAAGAGGGGCAACCGGGACAGAATCCGGCGCCCCGACTGGGACTAGTATCCGGTGTGCCGGCACCACAAGGCGGAGGATTAGCCTATTGAGCCGCGGCGCCGGCTACCGTGGAGTTTTATTATTGGTTTGTTTAAGTATCAATGCTTCCTAATATTAACTTATGAAGTTTTGTGAAAGAGGAATTTCACAATGGTCCCTTTATTGTCTTATGATGATACTGCATCAACCTGGTACACATGATTCAGAGGTAAAAGAGTATTAGTCTTTCTATTTCTGTGTGCTAGCTGCCATTTTGGGGTCTTGATTAAACCTCATAAACCCCAGGTTCCTCAAATGGAATGAATTACTAATAATGCTTTCCCTGCCTCCTCCATTAGATTAGGGTAAAAGAACAAATGCAATTTTTTTTTTTTAAACTTTTATTTAATGCATATAAATTTCCAAAGTACGACTTATGGATTACAATGGCTTTCCCCCCATACCGTCCCTCCCACCCACAACCCTCCCCTTTCCCACTCCCTCTCCCCTTCCATTCACATCAAGATTCATTTTCGATTATCTTAATATACAGAAGATCAGCTTAGTATACATTAAGTATGGATTTCAACAGTTTGCTCCCACACAGAAACATAAAGTGAAAAATAATAGATGATTTTTTTTTTTTGATAGGCAAAGTGGACAGTGAGAGAGAGAGACAGAGAAAGGTCTTCCTTTGCCGTTGGCTCACCCTCCAATGGCCGCCGCTGCAGCCGGCGCACCGCGCTGATCCGATGGCAGGAGCCAGGATCCAGGTGCCTCTCCTGGTCTCCCATGGGGTGCAGGGCCCAAGCCATCCTCCACTGCACTCCCTGGCCACAGCAGAGAGCTGGCCTGGAAGAGGGGCAACCGGGACAGAATCCGGTGCCCCGACCGGGACTAGAACCTGGTGTGCCGGCGCCGCAAGGTGGAGGATTAGCCTATTGAGCCACGGCGCCGGCTAATAGATGATTTTTTAAAATGATGATGAAATCAGAGCAGACCTATTGTCATGTTTAATCCCAGTGAGAGTCAAGTTGGGAATTGATAATTTCTTTCTTTTTTTTTTTTTTTTAACAGAGGATCAGTTTAGTATGCATTAAGTAAGGATTTCAACAGTTTGCACCCCCATAGAAACACAAAGTGAAATATATTGTTTGAGTACTCATTATAGCATTAAATCTCAATGTACAGCACATTAAGGATAGAGATCCTACATGAGGAGTAAGTGCACAGTGACTCCTGTTGTTGACTTTACCAATTGACACTCCTGTCTATGGCATCAGTAATCTCCCTATGCTCCAGTCATGAGTTTCCAAGGCTATGGAAGCCCTCTGAGTTCTCCGATTCTTATCTTGTTTAGACAAGCTCATAGTCAAAGTGGAGGTTCTCTCCTCCCTTCAGAGAAAGGTACCTCCTTCTTTGATGGCCTGTTCTTTCTACTGGGATCTCACTCGCAGAGATCTTCTGCCAGAGTGTCTTGGCTTTCCATGCCTGAAATACTCTCATGAGCTTTTCAGCCAGCTCCGAATGCCTTTAGGGCTGATTCTGAGGCCAGAGTGCTATTTAGGACATCTGCCATTCTAGGAGTCTGCTGAGATTCTCACTTCCCATGTTGGATCACTCTCCCCTTTATTTACTCCATCAGTTAGCATTAGCAGGTACTAGACTTGTCTATGTGCTCCCTTTGACTCCCAGTCCCTTCACCATGACCAACTGTGAACTGAAACTGATCACCTGGAACAGTGAGATGGCATTGGAACAAATGCAATTTTATAAGATAAAACACAGCATTTAAATTATTACACAGTAATATACTGTAAATTTATATTTTTATTAATCATAGTACTATAACTGATAATTGTAGCAAAAAATTAGCAGCAGCATTATTATTTAGTACCCCAATGTTAGGTGCTGTGAGTTGTGCAAAAATATCAACTCAAAGCCATGGAATCTATTAAGATCAAAATCTCTTACACTTAAAAAATTATGTTACAAAAGGTAAGTACTCAAAAGTGTCACTGGCCTACCATGGCTCATTAACAGAATATTGTATACACTAGTATTCTTCAGACTTTTAGGTTCAGTAAAAAACAATGACCATTTAGACCCAGATGTGTATATCATTAATTTATAAAGTAGATATAATGAATCATAGGGGTAAACAAGAATGAGACAAACAAATGTTGAGTGGAAACTCCAAAATGTCTTCTCAAAACCCACTTGACTCTAGTGTCCCTGCCCCCAACCCTGGGGACTGCTCCTTCCTCTTTGGCACCTGTAGGGTACAAGGGCCACTGCGTGCTCCAGGAAAGGCAAAGCCATCATGTTATTTATCATTCTTATTTACTTGGATCAACAATCTGTTGCTATGTTGCGTAGTTTTTCTTTGTTCCAGAAAAGGAGGTTAGAATAATGGACAAACTGTGGGAAGTGGTTAACTATTTAAGTGCTCCTAAAAGTACTGCCAAAATTATGTCACAGAATCCTCAAATGGTAGCAAACTACTTCTTAGCCAGTGGGTCCTCCTTGAGGTCCTAAATGCAAATCCCTTTTGCCAATTCCATCTCCCTAATCTCTCCCCTTCTTCCTACCTTTTCCCAGACCACTTTGCCAGGTTACTGATCCCTCCAGTCTCTTCAACAGAACCTCGATGGTAACACTGTCTTTGGCACAATATTTACCAAGTCCATGCACAAATGTTACTTCTTTTTTTCTGAATTATTTATTAATTCTGAACTTCTTTTCTTAAATGTCCAGATAAGAGAAGCCTTAAAGAGTCGAGTAACCTCTGCAAAGTGGAGCTCTAGAATATCGGAGGTAAAGTTTTCATGTTCATTTTTACATTGAAAAGTGTGACAGATAACAGCAAATTGGAGTTTCTGGTATATGGAGTATTGCTAAAATGGTCACCTTAGTATTTCCGGGAGTGGATTTCTCAGAAGTGCCAAGTGAGTGCCTCTTTGACTATTCAGTTTGGAGAATGGAGAGCACATCCAGATAGATGAAAGTATACTTTAGGGCGGAGCCAAGATGGCGGAATAGTGAGGGCGCGCACCGATAGTCCGGGAAAATTTAGTTTAATAAAAGGGGAGTTACGGTAGCCTCAGAAAAAAGAACCAGGAAAATATTGCAGAGGAAACTCTTCTGGATCGAGTGGCTGTGAATCGGAGGACCTACTGGGAGAGCAAGGTCACCCACCACGCAGAAGCCGAGCCGCGGACCGAGCCGCGGAAGCCGCAAGGTCTGCGCGCCAGTGCGGGAAGGGGAGTGCATATCACACAGACAACAGCGGGGAGAGTTGGGACGTCCAGGGCTCCGAGTCCACACATCGGCGCTGGAAGGGGAGGTGAGCTCAATAACCCGAGACATTGGCGGGGAAATGGGGGTCAGAATCTAGAGGGGGGCCAGAAAGTGCAGCAAACTCACTACCGGAAAGAAGGAAAAAAAAAAGCTTGAGGGTTTCTCTTTACCCTAACCTTGCAAAGGTTGCAAGGCTGCAAGGCTCGAAGAATTCAAGAATTCCCAAGAGACAAAGAGCAGGCCAGCTCTCTGGATTTACATATCAACAGGGGAGAGCTAAGGAACTGAGTCACTACAATTCAGTAGCCTAGGCAACCCAGTGGGAGTCCAGAGGAGCCTAAACAGACTCTGGGTAGAAGGCAGAGACTGGAAGCTAAACACCATCAATTCTGCACAGCCATGCCGTGCGGTGTTACTTACCCCCTGAATAAATAAAATAAATAAATAAATAAATAAATAAATAAAAAGAGAGAGATTTACCACGCATAACCTGAGGGTGTCACCTTTGCACACCCTTAACCAGGAAGAACCAAGCAGAGCTCTCAGGCCGCACCCATCTCAAGCCTCCAAGGCTCCTCCAACAGCAGGCAGTCCACTTAACATGGACATAGTATAAAATAAATAAAAAAAATTAAAAAAAAAACGCACACTGACAAAAGAAGAATTAACTATGCCAAGTAACAAACACAGAAATTGAGGGAACAAGATCAACGATGACACTATGATGCCTCCAAATAAACAAAACACCCCAAACCAAGATTATGAAGATGATGAGATAGAAGAAATGCAAGATACGGATTTCAAAAAATTTATGATAAGAACATTTAGAAGTTTTGAAAAGCAAATCCTTGAACTACAGAAATCCTTATTGGACAAGATTGAAAATCTCTCTCATGAAAATGAAATTTTAAGGAAGAATCAAAATGAAACTCAGAAACTAGTAGAACAGGAAAGTGTGATAGTGAAGAGAAATCAAAATGAAATGAAGAGTTCAATAGATCAAATGACAAACACATTAGAAAGCCTTAAAAACAGAATGGGTGAAGCAGAAGAGAGAATATCGGACTTAGAAGATAGAGCACAGGAAAACATACAGTCAAACCATAGAAAAGAAGAGGAAATTAGAAATCTAAAAAATATTGTTGGGAATCTACAGGATACTATTAAAAAAACCAACATTCGAGTTCTAGGAGTTCCTGAAGGCATGGAGACAGAGAAAGGATTAGAAGGCCTTTTTAGTGAGATACTAGCAGAGAACTTTCCAGGTCTGGAGAAGGACAGAGACATCCTAGTACAGGAAGCTCATAGAACCCCCAATAAACATGACCAAAAGAGATCCTCACCACGACACGTGGTAATTAAACTTACCACAGTGAAACATAAAGAAAAGATCCTAAAATGTGCAAGAGAGAAACGTCAGATTACTCTCAGAGGATCTCCAATCAGACTCACAGCAGACTTCTCATCAGAAACACTACAGGCTAGGAGGGAATGGCGAGACATAGCACAGGTGCTAAGACAGAAAAATTGCCAGCCCAGAATATTATATCCTGCTAAGCTCTCATTTGTGAATGAAGGTGAAATAAAGACCTTTCATAGCAAACAGAAATTGAAAGACTTTGTGGCCACTTGTCCGGCCCTGCAAAAGATACTTAAAGATGTGCTACACTCAGAAACACAGAAACATGGCCATCAATATGAAAGAAGGGAAAGGAAGAACACCTACCAGTAAAAGAGCATGGGAAGCTCAAAGCGTATACTAGAAAATATTTCCGGGAAAATGGCAGGGCAAAGTCACTACGTATCAATAGTCACATTGAACATTAATGGTCTGAATTCTTCAGTTAAAAGACACCGTTTGGCTGACTGGCTCAAAGAACACAACCCAAGTATTTGTTGCCTACAAGAAACACATCTCTCTAACAAAGAGGCATGCAGACTGAAAGTGAAAGGTTGGAAAAAGATATTCCATGCCAACAGAAACCAAAAAAAAGCAGGTGTAGCCATATCAATATCAGACAAAATAAACTTTAATACAAAAACTGTTAAGAGAGACAAAGAGGGACACTATATAATGATTAAGGGTTCAATTCAACAGGAAGATGTAACTATTATAAATGTATATGCACCTAATTACAGGGCACCGGTCTATTTAAAAGATATGTTAAGGGACTTAAAGGGAGATTTAGATTCCAATACAATAGTACTGGGGGACTTCAATACTCCACTCTCAGAAATAGACAGATCATCCGGACAGAAGATCAACAAGGAAACAGCAGATTTAATTGACACTATTGCCCAAATGGATCTAACAGATATCTACAGAACTTTCAACCCTACATCTACAGACTTCACATTCTTCTCAGCAGTGCATGGAACCTTCTCTAGGATTGATCACATACTAGGCCATAAAGCAAGTCTCAGCAAATTTAAAAGAATTAGAATCATACCATGCAGCTTCTCAGACCACAGCGGAATGAAGCTGGAAATTAGCAACTCAGGAAACCCCAGAAAGTATGCAAACACATGGAAACTGAACAACATGCTCCTGAATGAACACTGGGTCATTCAAGAAATCAAAGGAGAAATCAAAAACCTTCTGGAAGTAAATGAAGACAACAACACAACATATCAAAACTTATGGGATACAGCAAAAGCAGTATTGAGAGGCAAATTTATAGCAATAGGTGCCTATATCAAGAAACTGGAAAGGTACCAAATAAATGAGCTTTCAGCACATCTCAAGGACCTAGAAAAACTGCAGCAAACCAAACCCAAATCTAGTAGGAGAAGAGAAATAATTAAAACCAGAGAAGAAATTAACAGGATTGAATCCAAAAAAAACACTACAAAAAATCAGCCAAGCGAGAAGCTGGTTTTTTGAAAAAAATAAACAAAATTGACACCCCACTGGCCCAACTAATTAAAAAAAGAAGAGAAAAGACCCAAATCAATAAAATCAGAGATGAAAAAGGAAACGTAACAACAGACACCACAGAAATAAAAAGAATCATCAGAAATTACTGCAAGGACCTGTATGCCAGCAAACAGGAAAATCTATCAGAAATGGATATATTCCTGGACACATGCAATCTACCAAAATTGAACCATGAAGGCATAGAAAACCTAAATAGACCCACAACTGAAACAGAAATTGAAACAGTAATAAAGGCCCTCCCAACAAAGAAAAGCCCAGGACCAGATGGATTCACTGCTGAATTCTACCAGACATTTAAAGAAGAACTAATCCCACTTCTTCTCAAACTATTCAGAACAATCGAAAAAGAGGGGATCCTCCCAAATTCTTTCTATGAAGCCAGCATCACCTTAATCCCTAAGCCAGAGAAAGATGCAACACTGAAAGAAAATTACAGACCAATATCCCTGATGAACATAGACGCAAAAATCCTCAATAAAATTCTGGCCAATAGAGTACAACAACACATCAGGAAAATCATCCACCCAGACCAAGTGGGATTCATCCCTGGTATGCAGGGATGGTTCAACATTCGCAAATCAATCAATGTGATTCACCACATTAACAGACTGCAAAAGAAAAACCATATGATTATCTCAATTGATGCAGAGAAAGCATTTGATAAAATTCAACACCCTTTCATGATGAAAACTCTAAGCAAATTGGGTATAGAAGGAACATTCCTCAATATAATCAAAGCAATTTATGAAACTGGTACCAGACAGGGATACCTACTCTCACAACTGCTATTCAATATATTTCTGGAAGTTTTATCCAGAGCCATCAGGCAAGAAAAAGAAATTAAAGAGATACAAATTGGGAAGGAAGAAGTCAAACTATCCCTCTTTGCAGATGATATGATTCTTTATTTAGGGGATCCAAAGAACTCTACTAAAAGACTACTGGAACTCATAGAAGAGTTTGGCAGAGTAGCAGGATATAAAATCAATGCACAAAAATCAGTAGCCTTTTAATACACAGGCAATGCCATGGTTGAGAAAGAACTTCTAAGATCAATCCCATTCATAATAGCCACAAAAACAACCAAATACCTTAGAATAAACTTCACCAAGGACATCAAAGATCCCTACAATGAAAATTACAAAATCTTAAAGGAAGAAATAGGATACCAAAAAATGGAAAAATCTTCCATGCTCATGGATTGGAAGAATCAATATCATCAAAGTGTCCATTCCTCAAAAGTAATTTATAGATTCAATGTGATACCAATCAAAATACCAAAGAAATTCTCTCAGATCTGGAAAAAAATGATGCTGAAAATCATATGGAGATACAGGAGACCTCGAATAGATACAAAAAAACAAAGCTGGAGGCATCACAATACCAGATTTCAGGACATACTACAGGGCAGTTGTAATCAAAACAGCATGGTACTGGTACGGAAACAGATGGATATACCAATGGAACAGAATAGAAACACCAGAAATCAATCCAAACATCTACAGCCAATTTATATTTGATCAAGGGTCCAAAACCAATCCCTGAAGTAAAGATAGTCTATTAAATAAATGGTGCTGGGAAAACTGGATTTCCACGTGCAGAAGCATGAAGCAAGACCTCTACCTTTCACCTTACAAAAATCCACTCAACATGGATTAAAGACGTAAATCTATGACCTGACACCATCAAATTATTAGGGAAGATTGGAGAAACTCTGCAAGATATAGGTACAGGCAAAGACTTCCTGGAAAAAACCCCGGGAGGCACAGGCAGTCAAAGCCAAAATCAACTATTGGGATTGCATCAAATTGAGAAGTTTCTGTACTGCAAAAGAAACAGTCAGGAGAGTGAAGAGACAACCGACAGAATGGGAAAAAATATTTGCAAACTATGCAACAGATAAAGGGTTAATAACCAGAATCTACAAAGAGATCAAGAAACTCCACAAAAACAAAACCAACAACCCACTTAAGAGATGGGCCAAGGACCTCAATAGACATTTTTCAAAAGAGGAATTCCAAATGGCCAACAGGCACATGAAAAAATGTTCAAGGTCGCTAGCAATCAGGGAAATGCAAATCAAAACCACAATGAGGTTTCACCTCACCCGGTTAGAATGGCTCACATACAGAAATCTACCAACAACAGATGCTGGTGAGGATGTGGGGAAAAAGGGACACTAACCCACTGTTGGTGGGAATGCAAACTGGTCAAGTCACTATGGAAGTCAGTCTGGAAATTCCTCAGAAACCTGAATATAACCCTACCGTTCGACCCAGCCATCCCACTCCTTGGAATTTACCCAAAGGAGTTTAAATTGGCAAACAAAAAAGTGGTCTGCACCCTAATGTTTATCGCAGCACAATTCACAATAGCCAAGACCTTGAACCAACCTAAATGCCCATCAACAGTAGACTGGATAAAGAAATTATGGGATATGTATTCTTTAGAATACTATACCGCAGTAAGAAACAACGAAATCCAGTCATTTGCAACAAAATGGAGGAATCTGGAACACATCATGCTGAGTGAAGTCAGCCAGTCCCAAAGGGACAAATACCATATGTTCTCCCTGATCGGTGAGAACTGACTGAACACCAAAAAGGAAACCTCCTGAAGTGAAATGGACACTATGAGAAACGGTGACTTGATCAGCATAGCCCTGACTGTTAATGAACAACTTAATACATTATCCCTCTTAGTATTTTTTTTATTTGTCTTTCTTAATATGACTGGTTTAATTCTGTAATTAATACACAGTTATTCTTAAGTGTTGAAAATTAACTGAAATGTGATCCCTGTTAAACATAAGAGTGGGAATAAGAGAGGGAAGAGATGTATAATTTGGGACATGCTCAAGCTGACTTGCCCCAAATGGTAGAGTTAGAAACATACCAGGGGATTCCAATTCAATCCCATCAAGGTGGCATGTACCAATGCCATCTCACTATTCCAAGTGATCAATTTCAGTTCACAATTGATCATAATGAAAGGACTAAGAGTCAAAGGGAGCACATAAACAAGTCTAGTACCTGCTAACACTAACCGATAGAATAAATAAAGGGGAGAGTGATCCAACATGGGAAGTGAGATACTCAGCAGACTCATAGGATGGCAGATGTCCTAAATAGCACTCTGGCTCAGAATCAGCCCTAAAGGCATTCGGATCTGGCTGAAAAGCCCATGAGAGTATTTCAGGCATAGAAAGCCAAGACACTCTGGCAAAATGATCTCTGTGAGTGAGATCCCAGTGGAAAGAACAGGTCTTCAAAGAAGGAGGTACCTTTCTCTGAAGGGAGGAGAGAACCTCCACTTTGACTATGACCTTGTCTAAACAAGATAAGAGTCGGAGAACTCAGAGGGCTTCCGTAGCCTTAGAAACTCATGACTGGAGCACAGGGAGATTACTGATGCCATAGACAGGAGTGTCAATTTGTAAAGTCAACAACAGGAGTCACTGTGCACTTACTCCTCATGTACGATCTCTGTCCTTAATGTGTTGTCCATTGAGATTTAATGCTATAACGAGTACTCAAACTATATATTTCACTTTGTGTTTCTATGGGGGTGCAAACTGTTGAAATTTTTACTTAATGCATACTAAACTGATCTTCTGTAAAAAAAAAAAAAGAAATTATCAATTCCCAACTTGACTCTCACTGGGATTAAACATGACAATAGGTCTGATCTGATTTCATCATCATTTAAAAAATCATCTATTATTTTTCACTTCATGTTTCTGTGTGGGAGCAAACTGTTGAAATCTTTACTTAATGTATGCTAAACTGATCTTCTGTATATAAAGAGAATAGAAAATGAATCTTGATGTGAATGGAAGGGGAGAGGGAGTGGGAAAGGGGAGGGTTGTGGGTGGGAGGGACGGTATGGGGGGGAAGCCATTGTAATCCATAAGTCGTACTTTGGAAATTTACATTCATTAAATAAAAGTTAAAAAAAAAAGAAAGTATACTTTAGTGCATTTCAAGGACAGTGACATGGTGGTGGGTACTGGAGGGATACACCTCAAACCACATAGCAAGAGTTGGTGATGAAACAGAAATGAGGGAAGATGAGGTCCCAGGTTCCCATGAGAGACCACTTGTTCTTCCTGAGTCCAGCCAACTGGACCACATCCAAAGTATGAATATTTCAGGGAAACTAATAATAACCTTATACAAAGAACTTCCTAATAGCTTGATTTTCTAGAAGGCCTGTTTGCCATGGTTATTGGTTCCTATTCTGTTTTGTTGTGGAGAAGCTTCAGTTATTGGGTTGTTGGAGTGGACTACAAATTTCCCTTCTTTAGCTTATATTCTGTTCCTGTAACTTAGAACCATTTATTGTGCAAAAGATAAATCCCATCAGCTCTCCTCAGTAAGGGCAAAAGTGGAAAATTTTTTTAATGGCAGCAAAAAGGGGATTCAGGATTCATCAAAGGAATGCACTCAGCATCAAGAGAAGAGGCGTTTAGAGTTTCCTAGGCCAACGTTGCCTGCCAGGGAGGGATGTTGCAGGAGAGGGGAGATGATGGATCAGTTGGGGAGGGTTGGCGTAGGGCTTCCTTGTGGCCCTGAAAAACATTGTCCCTGCCCATAATCCTCACCTTTTTATTCCCTTCTTCTTCTCTCCTTTTTCATCTTTTTTCTTTTCCTATTCCCCTTTGCCTTAGTCTTGCCTAAGCTTTCATTTTGTTCTACAGACCCTATTCAAGAAAAATTAAATCAGAAGCTCTTAGGAGTATGGCCTAAGCCTTTTTTAAAAGCTCTCAAGTGATTCTAATGTGCTGTGGAGTTTAAGAAACACTGGTCTAGGTACTAGATACATTTCTTCATTTATCTTAACTTTTTGCAATCTCTCCTTAATTATGTTCACTAGCTTAAGGCTATTATCTGTCATTAGTTTTATTAACCCTACTCAGGGCATAGAAGTAGATGTATCATCTGTTTTCTCCTTTTCTGCTTATAGGTTTCTGTGCCTTGAGTAGTGATTTGCGAGTCCAGGTTTAAGTTACCGTTACCCCTTTATAGTATCAGACTGTATAGGGGTCTTTAAATATGTATGGATTTCAAAAAACGAGCAGACTCAACTCTGCAAACCTAGGAAAATCAATGTGCTTGTCTGTGTTCATTTTAGATCTGATATGATGAATTAGCTCATGCTTGTATGGTGATAATTCTGTCTCTGAATTAGTGTGTCACCTGTCTTAGACAGCATTGGAGGGAACTTCAAACATGTTCATGAAAAATGGAAGTAAAATATGTTTATTTTAGTGTAACTTTTTTGAAATCCATACATATTTGAAAAGTTCATAAATCCATATTGTAGAAATATTATGCATGGATTATAAAAAATTTTTCACCAAAATATTTTTTATTCCATTCTCTATTACCTTTTCTTTTTTTTTTTCTTTCTTTTTTTTTTTTTTTTGACAGGCAGAGTGGACAGTGAGAGAGAGTGAGACAGAGAGAAAGGTCTTCTTTTTTCCATTGGTTCACCCCCCAATGGCTGCTGCGGCCAGCGCACTGTGCTGATCCAAAGCCAGGAACCAGGTGCTTCTCCTGGTCTCCCATGCGGGTTCAGGGCCCAAGCACTTGGGCCATCCTCCACTGCACTCCCGGGCCACATCAGAGAGCTAGACTGGAAAAGGGGCAACCGGGACAGAATCTGGCGCCCTGGTGTGCCGGCACTGCAGTCGGAGGATTAGCCTATTGAGCTGTGGTGCCGCAACGGCCTCTTTATGACCTTTTTGAAGGAACTGCACATACATAAAACAAAAGGATATCTTTTGACACATGTGCATCACAAGGGTATATCTTTTTTTTTTTTACTTTTTATTTTTTGACAGGCAGAGTGGACAGTGAGAGAGAGAGACAGAGAGAAAGGTCTTCCTTTTGCCGTTGGTTCACCCTCCAATGGCCGCTGTGGCCGGCGTGCTGCGGCCAGCGCACCATGCTGATCCGAAGGCAGGAGCCAGGTACTTATCCTGGTCTCCCATGGAGTGCAGAGCCCAAGGACTTGGGCCATCCTCCACTGCACTCCCTGGCCACAGCAGAGAGCTGGCCTGGAAGAGGGGCAACCGGGACAGAATCTGGCACCCCGACTGGGACTAGTACCTGGTGTGCCGGCACCGCAAGGTGGAGGATTAGCTTAGTGAGCTGCGGCGCCGGCCACAAGGGTATATCTTTAACATTAAGGATTTCAGTAGCCCAGTTGAGAAGCAGATATTTGAGGTTTAGGAGCCATTTCAGTGGTTCTCTCTCTCTCTCCACACCATTCAACTTCCTTCTTCACTGCCTACTCCTACTCACCCCAAATTAGGGACTCCTTCAGGAGAGGCATCCAGGACAAGCCAGGGAGGAGGGGATTCCTCATACCAGCCAGTAGTAGTTCTATCTGAAGAAGTGGGGAGGAATGAAGAGAAGGGATGTAATCAATAGCTGTGTTTCACAATTCTTCATGTATTTTGAATCACTGTGATAATCAAAAACAAGCTAATAATGATAAAAGCAATTATTATTTGTCATCAACAGAATATTTCTTCTGAATTCTCTTGTCATCCCACCAAAGGGCCAAGCTAACAAACTAGGATGCATCCCTAACTTGGGAGGTGAGTAAAACATATGTGTATCATATAGGTGACATTCCTTGTAAAATTGCAAATTGATTAATTATTACTGAAAATATTTTTTTATTATAAGGATTCTCCCATAAAATCTAGTCTCACTTAGCTGTGGTTAGCAATAAATTTATGGTTTAAATTCTTGGGCTACTGAATATTTTTATTCTCTCTGCAAAAACAGGCATGCCTGAAAATGCTTATAATTAGCCTGGGTATATTTACAAGAGGAGCAAGCAGAGGTGCCTGTCCCTCTCAGGTACTTCCTCTGGAGTTCTCCATCCCAGGTCATCCTATATGGTGTCAGTAATATCCTCACATTTCCCATTGTAATCCTTCTCTTCCCTGGCCTTACAAGATCAAGGACTTATATTTAAGTTAATTATAATTAAAGAATTATATATAAGAGGACTCAGAGATAATTTGGATTTGTGTGTGTGTATGCATTTGAGTTAGTGTTTGGGAGATGAGCAGAGACATTGACACAGAATTAGACAAAGCAGAAATTTAGAGACTCAGAAGGAGAGACATGGAGACCCATGTTTGAAAGAGAGTCACACAGATACATGGGCATGTGCAGACATGTATCTCCAATACTGAATCTCAATGTTCCTCTCTACCTAGAGACAGAAGATCAGAGAGGCAGACAGAGGCACCCACACTGAAATACACACATTCACAGGGAGATACTCTCAGATAGGGACATTCAGGTATGGGCTTAGAGATGCATAGAGGAACCCAGAGAAATGCAGAAACAGAATGACACACCGAGACTGAGTCTCAGAGACACAGAGTGACAGAGACAAAAACAGAGAGCTGCAGAGGGAAGCATTTGGATATGTAGAGAGATCGTCTCACCTTCTGCAACAGTCAAGCACCTTGCATATGGAAACAGATGTTTTCTGAGTAGAGTTATACTTAAAAGGATGTGGCCGACTTAGAGAAAGACAAGATTTGTGACTCAGCATTTGTAGGCAATAGAACAAACCTGTCTCCTGGTTTCCAGAATGGCTTAAAGGAAAGAGACTCTCCCTCTGCCAAGAGGATCTACCCAAAGAGATTATTTTCTTTTTTGATATGTTTTCTTTCTTTTTTTTTTTTTTACCTAGAAACCTTTTATTTAAGGTATACAAACTTCATGCATTTCATACATACAAACTTAGGAACATAGTGATACTTTCCATCCTACCCCCCTCCCATCCACACTCCCACCCTTCTTCCTCCTCCCTCTCCTATTCCCATTCTTATTTATTTAATAGTAAGCTTCTAACACAGTTGTTGTGAACCCTATGGGTCTTGATATTTGTTTGTTAAATCTGTGATTTTCTGTTCTTGACAAGGTTGTACATTCCAGGAATGGCAGAGTCCAAAGGAGAAACGTGCGTGTTGCTGTCTTCTTGCCTCTGGAGAGAATAAAGGAAACTTCACAGACCATGGTGCTGATGTAGGGGAGTGTGCAGTGTGGAAAGGACAAGGGACCCTTCTGTCTACACTGCTTTGTGCTGCTGACCAATTCTTGCCCATCGACTCTAAATATACACGACCTCCCTGGGCATCCATGAAGGAACACAAGAAACAAAGTGGCCACGGAAGGGCGACGCTCTTATTGAGGCCTTTGTCTGTTTTCAGTTAGATTACATTAAGAAAGCTGTGGCTCATCTTGGCAAAGGTAGCCTGGCATGCCACCTGGCTGGATTCTGCAAGTGACTTTGGGAGGTGCCCTCAGGAACAGGCAGCAACAGTAGGGCTGACTCTTAAGTAGGTCATAGGGGTTCTTTTGGCAAGAGGAATCCAACTTCCAATATATTCCACTCCTCCAAATTTAAATTGATTACCTGGTTAGTCTGGCTTAGATGCAACTTCTTCAGTCACAAGCCTAGTGAAAGCACAGAGCTTTTGAACTGAAAAGGTACCCATTTTAAGCCAAGCAGATGGAAGCCTGGAGCTGTGAGTCACAGCTAATTAAGGGTTCAACAAGAGGTAGCAACACAAGTCGGCTGGCTCCCAGCCCTAGACTTTTTCTTGACAACATGTAGCCACTGAGAGGCATTCTGTTTACACTGACAATGTAGGATTAGCCCTCACCTACATTATGGCTTTTGAGGCCCAGGATGGGAAAGGGAATATATCATATTTCAAGTACAGAGCCACTCATTTTACAAACCTTGTATGTAAACAAATTTAACATTCAAACCAGGTGTCACCTGATAGGGCTCAGTACAATAGGTAGAAGGCCTTCTAGAGAAAAAAAAAGAAAGAAGGAAAAAAAGCCCCTTTATAATGCAAGGACATGGGCAGGCAGCTGCAGCAAAAGAAAACTGAGGGATAAAGGCAAAGAGGCAATATACATTCCCTAATTATCCTACCAAGAAGCCAGTAATAATGACAATCTATTGCAAATGGGAAAGTGAGGCAGGCTCTGGATGAGTGGGCTCCTTTCTCTCTCTCTCTCTCTCTCTCTCTCTCTCTCTCTCTCTCTTTCCCTTCCCCCAACTCCTTCAGAACACATTTATTGTCCTGCTTCTGCTTCTCCAAAGAAGTGACTTGGTCAGGCAGCCCTGGGAGAAATTGATGCTAACACTGTCTAAAACAGATTTATGTGTAGAACATTTAATACATGGTGATCCTTGGGAGAGTAATTTAAATTCTTTAGATGTTGGTTTTCTCAGCTATAAATTAGGAATAATAGATTTTACCTGAAGTGTTGTTGTAAAGATTAAATGACTAAATGTAAGTAACGTATTAGAATAATTCTTGCTATATAATAATAACACATGAAAATGTTAGAAATTTTATTTTATTTTTTTAATATTAGATTACCTACTTGTTCTACATAGGGCAGTTTTGAGTTGGCAAAAACATACTAAAGAGATCATTCAGAAGAAGGTAGAAAAAACGACCACCCTGGAGACAGTCATCTTTCAAGTGGCAGTGCTCATCGTGGGGCAACAATAACATCCTTCTCAAGTGAAGTCAGCAAGTGATTTTGATTTGCTATTTACAAATATATCCATAGAATTTCTCCAAGAGTAGTGACTTGGATAGGCACAGGCTTTTCTCAGAGATTCAGGCACAAAAGTGGTCACCTATCCAGAGTCAATGTATTGAAGTGAGAATAGAATTTTATGAAATTAAATAGTTATAGGATTGTGAACCTAGAAAACTTTAGAAAACATTAAGTCCAGTTGTCTCATTTTACTGATGAGAACTCTGAGCACTACGGAGAGTGGGAGGGATTGGCCTTTTTTGTTTATGTTGTACACTGAGCAGTCCCTTCTGGTATGAAAGCTCTCTATTCTGGTGAACTCATTCCCTGAACTAGGATGGGGAACGATTCTCTACCTTGGGCTCATTAATCAAGAAAGATCTGTGAATATTAATGGAGACTATGGAGTTATTTCAAAGTCCTATGAAGAAGCTTTGTCTTCTTTCCTGCAGATCAAAATCCACTCTGGACCATCTTGACAGATATAAAAGGAATGTATAAATTAGCTTGACTATGGATGACCCTGGGTAAAGTCACATTTGGTGTGCTGCTCACACTTCTCCTAGGAAGTAGCTTGGTCAGGTGGCACTGGGAGAAACTGGTGTTGTCTATAGCAGATTTATGGGAAGAACATTTAATACATGGTGATCCTTGGGAAAGTCATTTAAATTTCTTAGACTTTGTTTTTCTCATCTGTAAATGGAGGATAATAGATCCTATCTCAAAGGATTATTGGAAAGATTAAATGGATAAATAAGTAAAATATTAGAATAGTTCTTGGTAAATATTAATTGGTCATGAAAATGTTAGTTTTTTTTTTTATTAGAGTACCTGTGAATACACACCCATACACAGATCCACACAAACACAAGCACATAACAGCTATGGCCCTTTGTACAAGTTTGGATGTAGACCCCTCATGGGAACTAGCTCATTGACTTACAAATCAAAGAGTTAAACATTTTATTTTTTTAGCATTTTATTTCAAAAAAGTTTCAAATTTATGAAACAAAGATTGTGAGTTAGTAATACAAGGAGTTCTCATATACTCCTAGTCCCACTTCCCCTGTTATTAACACCTCATATTAGTAAGTTTGTCAGAATTAATGAACTGTAGCCAGCTTCCCCTATTTTTATTCATACTCTTTTTATGCCTCCCATCCCTCCCAACCTCTAGTAATCAACATTCTGAGTTTAGATTAAGGGTTTTTGTTTTTTTAAATTTAACTCCCACATATAAGAAGAACATGTGGTGTTTGTCTTTCTGCTTCTGGCTTATTTGTTCAACATCATGTTCTCCAGTTCCATCTATTTTGTTGCAAATTACAGGACCTCACTCTTCCTTATAGCTGAATATTATTCCATTATATATATGTGATCTCTATCTATCTATCTATCTACATATCACATTTTTTTATCCATTCATTCGATGATGGACACCTTGGTTGATCCCATATTTTGGCTATTGTGAACAGTTTTAGCATTTGATTTGATATGTTCAGTATTAAGGGTGTCAGCTAGAAAATCTGCTGAGTTTACCTTGAGCCATCCTCTTCACCAGTGTTTCCATGGTAGCCATAGGAAGGAAGAGTCTACACCATGGACTTTCCCTTATTGCACACTGTGCCCAAGCTCTGCTTCATCTTCTATCTTCACTGAGATGGCTTCTGGGATTGATCCAATCAAAATGATGATTCTTCCCATCTATTTTCTGTGATATTTATAATCTGTACCATTTATTTTAAATTAGTATTTACTGTGTTAAATTGTTTTTACTTTTAGTCTTTTTGTGTACAGCTGTTTTATTTCACAAATAAGATTGTAAACTTTTCAGGAACAGGGTTAATGTTGTGGTTGTTACTTAACTTTGTTATTCATTTTTGTTACTCACTTTTGTATTCCTGGAGGGCAAAGTGCCTTGAATATAGAATATGTTCAGTAATTATTTCAATAAAGTCTTTTGATTACATAACCACTTGATACTGGCTTTTCTAATACTCAAATGACCCGTTTCTTAACTGGTAACCTAAATGGAACTGGCCCATTTCTACAACATAACCTCTTTGATCTTTGTTGCTGTAAAATGTCTCTCACTTTTTTTCTCCATATTATATACATTTATCCAGGTAACATCCATATGCAGTTTTACATTAGATCTTTATGGGACAAAGGGATGTAAATAGAAGATACCAGAATTAGGATGTGTGGGATTATTAATCCAAAGTGGCTACCAATTCAAAGTCAAATTATGTAACATTTCTCATAAATACAGACTGTGCCTTCTGTGTATGAATTACCCACAGACATGTAGAGGCTCAATAAGAATCCCTTGACCAAGTCATTATAAAAATAAACCATGGAACCAGCACTGTGGCATAGTAGGTTAAGCCACCGCCTGCGGTGCTGGCATTCCATACAAGCACTGGTTCAAGTCCCATCAGTTCTACTTTCAATCCAGCTCCCAGATAATGTGCCTGGGAAAGCAGTGGAGGATGGCCTAAGTCCTTGGGCCCCTGCACCCATGTGGGAGACCTGGAAGAAGAGCCTGGCTCCTGGGTTCAGATCAGCCCAGGCCTGGTCAATTCAGACATTTAGGGAGTGAACCAGCTGACGCAGGACCTTACTATCCCCCACCCCATAACTCTGCATTTAAAAATAAATAAAATAAATCTTTTAAAAAATAATAAACCAGAAATCTCTCTGGAGCCAAGTTCAACATCAGACAGGCCAAAAAAAAAAAAAAAATTATTAGCCTTTTGTTGTCATCAATACAGTGGCACAACTTTGCCACTTAATCACCCTTGTTCTAACTCCACCAGTCCAGTAGCTACACTACAGAGTCTCCTATGAACATCTGAGATAAAGATTTAAAGGACAAACAAGTGACTCATTTAATGGATTTGCTTCAGACAAGAGAAACCTGTAATTTCTCTTAGGCGTGCATGCCGGACCCTGTGAAATGAATCACAGACTTGCACAAGCCATGAAACCGTGGGCAGCTTTGCAGTTCTCAGACTGGCTTCTCATAGCAGCCACTTGGCTCTCACTGGAGCCTCCTGGACTGCCTTTCAAAAACTGGAGAAGATGGGTCACAGCCACTAACCAGGGTGCTGTAGGAGGTGCCTGTGTGGGCACTCGTGATGGTGGGGCACCATGGTGGGGAACTTAGCGCTGATCTTCCTGCTGGGTGATTCTGCACCTCAGGGTTGCTAGATCTTCTGGATGCCGTGAGTACATGTTCCATGCCAACACCCTTTCCTACTGAAAGAAGGATTATTTGTGCACATATTCCGGGATTGGGGGGAATGTGTGATTTATGACAGTACTTTCTAGAATGTTTCATTCTTTGAGAACCTTTTCTTATTTTGTTTAGAAATTAGCTAGCTCAAAGTTGTAGTATTTCCCAAGTCTCTTCTTCATTTGTTTTTCTTTAAAGAGTCATTTGTCAGGCTCTAATTGCTCACTCCTAGGAGTGAAAAGGCAAAGCAGCCTTAGGGCAACTAGACTTATTGGACCTGCTGGGCAGTCTTGCATGATTATTTTCAATTCCTCTTCTTTAGATCAAATGCAAAGCTGTATATTTTTTAAACAGCATTCTTTAGTCTTTTCTTCTCTAAGTAAGGTTGACAAAGCTGTCTGTATAGCAACTTAAATGGAAATAGTTCCTCAAGTTCTTGCTAAAACCTTTTTGTAAAGCATCTCATTTTTGGTGGCGAATAGTAGGCTCTCTGAAGATCTATGTTCTGTAGACTCGGAGGGCAATTGTGAGAGCTCTAAAATGTTGCATCATTTTCCCCACCAGTGGCACCATTCCAGTGAGTATTCTTTATGGATAGAGAAACTTCCGGCTTTATCAGGTTTTTAAAAATTATGTGTCAAGATAGTGTTGAGCTGCCGGCCAACTTTGAAACTATGTGATTCAGGAAACCTGTCAGAATTTGGATCCAGACCTCAATTTTTAGAAAAGATACTGAGCAACAAAGAGATTGGCTGGAAGCCAGCTAAAATAGTCAAAGATGTGGTATATCTGATACTAATAGGTCTTTCATATCTTACCTTCCCCCAAGGCTCTGTTGAAGCACCTCATTCATGGCAAGAGAGTGAGTGACTGAATGGATTCTATTATTAAGGCCAAAAAGGTCTGGGTCATAAATACATAAGCAACTTATTTAGGCATCTGTTGTTATAATCAGAGTTCTATTGACCCTTTTAGGATAGATGGAACGTAGTTATGGAATTAGGCTTTGGGGAACAGTACACACACACACACACACACACGCAAATGTGGGTCACTTAACTCTGAAGTTCCTCTCCTTCCAGCTGACCTTTCTGAAGTGATCATTTCCATTGGATAATGGGACTGGCCAAGGAATATAGATGAGCTGCCAAGTTAACAACATAGTGAGAATAGGCCCTCCCTCTCACCCTGTGGTGCAGTTTGGTGGAGAACACTTGGGGAAAACATTCGTTTGGCTTACTAATATTAAAATTTTTCATGAAGAGTTTGAGTGATTATACTTCCTGGTGCATTCCTTCCTGACTGACTACACTTGGAGTTCCCAGGCTGACCTGTTTCTGTTTTCTTTGGGAGCCTTGGCTTGGCATGTTTAGACAAGTGGGGAGTCCCTTCGCCTGTGTGAGTCATCTCTTAACAATACCATCTAGCACGTCAGAAGTAATCTCCAGTACACAGGCAAACTGATTGAAATGTTGCATATCAACTCAGAAATTCAGGTCTAGGTACAAGGAAGGTGGAACAAATAGAAGGTGTTCAAGAACAGCACGGGTCTTCTGGATCTGTCCAGGGAAAACTGTGTTGAAATAGATACACTCATTTCCATACTACTCTCTTATGCCCATGGCAGACATCACTAATCTAGCATAGCTTTATTTCTTGTTCAACCTAGATGGGGCCTCACAATCCTTTTTCACATATACCTCGTTCAGGTAGTACAGCCATTAGACAGCATTGCTACTCAAACTGCTATGTTTCAAAATCATTGAGAATTGCAGATATGGTCACTTTCCCATCTAAGAAAAATTGCCTCCTGATTTTTGAGCAAAAGCTTCAGGTGCTGGAATCATTCTCTGCAGGAATCATTCATTTATCCATTGAATGTCTACTGAGTATTTACTATGTACCTTGTTCCTGCTAGGAACTGAGGATAGAGAAACTTCAAGTGTTCACTTCCCTAATGACAACTTGTTATTTTGACCTATTCTACTAGTTGTGGCTTAATTTTTCTGAGGCTCTGGGACTAAAAGCAAAAATTCTAGTGTTCTGTTGATGCATTGTGATTAGGGCTTAGGCTAATTAGAATCAATCTTCTGGGGTGGTAGATTCTTAGATGCATTCCCTCTGGGTCAGGTTGATTTTCTTTAAGCCTCTGTGCCCAGCAAAGGTTGTTCATTCATTCTCTCCCCGCCACCCCCACCCCCATCATTAGATTAGAGCAGGGAGCCTGGCTTCCATTCAGCAGCCTGGTATTGCTATTTATTATCATGTGAAAAATCAAGAGAGATGGCTGTGGGCAATTTACACATTTACAAGAACCCACAGAGACAGTGGTAGTGGGAGGGGGCAGGAATTTGGTTCATGTTTCAATTACTTGATAGGTCCTGAGAAACTGCCATCGGAGGTGGCCTAGTTGCTTTATGTCTGAAATATATCATCTTTCAAAAACTTTGGAAACAATATGTGGAAGTGCTGTTGTTGAATGACTAGTACAGAAACTGGAGGGAGTTTGTTTGTAAATGGAAGATAACAATTTATGTCATTGCTACAGACAAGAGGCCTTTTGCATCTTATTTTCTCTACCATGTTTTTATTCTTTATTTCTGAATCCATCCTTCCCTGCCTTGTGTTCATTCCAATCTTCAGTATAAGTGACTTGATAGGCTTCTATGAACATATTACCACAGATACTTTCATTAGGTAGTGGCCTAACAAATACACATGGGACCTGAGTCTGGATAGATTAATGTGTTTTCCTCCAAGACAACATATTGTCACAGAACAGCAGCCTTAAATTCCCCACAAATTTTTCATTGATCAAGTAAATTTGGTAAAGCTTGGGTGAGACAGTCTACTACAATAATTCTTTTTTAAAAAAAACAAAGATTTGGGGCTGGCACTGTGGCACAGAGGGTTAAAGCCCTGGCATGAAGTGCCAGCATCCCATATGGGCACTGGTTCAAGTCCCGGCTGCTCCTCTTCCGATCCAGCTCTCTGCTATGGCCTGGGAAAGCAGTGGAAGATGGCCCAAGACCTTGGGCCCCTGCACCTGCGTGGGAGACCCAGAAGAAACTCCTGGCTCCTGGCTTTGAATAGGTGCAGCTCCAGCCGTTGTGGCCATCTGGGTAGTGAACCAGTGGATGGAAGACCTCTCTCTGTCTCTACATCTTTCTGTAACTCTGTCTTTCAAATAAATAAAATAAATCTTTAAAAAAATGCAAAAATAAAGATTTATTTATTTGAGAGGCAGAGTTACAGACAGACAGAGAGACAGAGGGAGAGGTCTTCTGACCTCTAGTTCATTCCCCAGATCACCAGGAGCCAGGAGCTTCTTCTGGGTTTCCTAATTGGGTATAGGAGCCCAATCCCATGGATCATCTTTCACTGTTTTCCCAGGACATAAGCAGAGAGTTGGATCAGAATTAGAGCAGCTGGGACATGAACAGATGCCCATATGGGATGCTGGCATCGCAGATGGAAGCTTAACCTACTACACCACAGAGCCAGCCCCTACAAGAATTCTTAAACCTTTGATATGAGTGTGTGTATGTGTGTGTGTGTGTGTGTTTATGTGTTTTGAAGAGGACAAAGTCTGGTGGTGGTTGATTTACACACTGTTTCTCACACTGATTTGACCAAGGAACCCCTTTGGTTGTTTTTTTTATGAGACCAGTGTTCCACAGAAACTCATTTCAGAACACAAGGCCATGGCCAAATACATCAGGAGATACCAAAAGCCCACGTTGCTTACTGTTTTCATTTCCCCCCTCCCCACACTGAGTACTAGGATTAATATTAGGATTAGTATTTGAATAGTAAGTGACATATCTTCTCAGCAAGGTATCTTCCTGACACTATATCATAGGGGTTTATAGAACTAGACATTTTTGTAAACATAGTTTTGTTGATAAGCTGAATATATCATGGAACCACAAGTCAATAAACTATGTTTTGTTTATTTCTTGTTCTTATAAGAAATACCTGAGGCTGGGCACTTTGTAAAGAAGAGATTTATTTAACTCACAGTTCTGGAGGTTCAAGGGAATGGTGCAAGCATTTCTATGGCTCTGACGAAGGCTTCATGGCAGGTGGTGTCATGGTGAAGAGTGCATGTGAAAGGGAGAGATAACGTGGTGACACAGGAAGCCAGAGTGAAGGAGTGGACGAGACGATATTGCTCGTTATATAAAACCTTCTCAGGAGAACTAACTAGATTTCCTCAAAAACCACACCAATTCCATCTTAAAGGAGTGTTCCCAGTGACCCAAAGTGCTCCCACATGTCCCCATCTCTTAAGGGACCACATTGGGGACCAGACTTCAGACACCATATCACAGTACAAAGGTAGCTTATGCATCCTATACTTGGAACAACTCTGGATTCTCCATGTAGGATAAGACTTAGCACTGATTCTACCTACTCCTCACTAGAGACTAGTAAACCATTCAGCCAGATGAGCTTCCCTCAGTTAGCCTCACTCTGAAAGCTGCTTCTTGTGATACTGCCTAATGTTCTTCTGGCCAATTTGTGCTCTTCTTGTTATATTTAATATTTAGATTTTTCATTCTTGTTTTTTCCTCATTCTTTCAAGAGAAAATCCATGGCATGTAGGCATTGAACTAGGTACTTTGTATTTGCAGAAATGTTTCTGTTTGGAATCAGGCAAAACTGAAAGTTCATTTTATTTTATTTTATTTTAAAAGATTTATTTATTTATTTATTTGAAAGATTTACACACAGAGAGAAGGAGAGGCAGAGGGAGAGAGAAAGAGGTCTTCTTTCTGTTGGTTTACTCCCCAGCTGGCTGCAACGGCTGGATCTGGGCCAATCCGAAGCCAGGAGTCAGGAGCTTCTTCCAGGTCTCCCATGTGAGTGCAGGGGCCCAAGGACTTGGATCATCTTCCACTGCTTTCCCAGGCTATAGCAGAGAGCTGGATCAGAAGTGGAGCAGCCGGGACTTGAACCAGTGCCCATATGAGATGCCGCCACTGCAGGCGACGGCTTTACCATCTCCACCTCAGCGCCGGACCCAGAAAGTTCATTTTAATTATTAAATCTTTATCAATGGCAAATTCAAGAACACATGCTCCCTCCACTCTGTTCTATAAAATATCAACCATTGGTTATGAGTTATTATGACAATGCTTCTTTGTAAATTCCTCATTCTCAGAGTCCTTAACTTCTCCCCATTTTCTTCTCCAAAGAGTACTCTGGCTTTTGGCCTCCATCACATCTGAATTCTGATGGTAGTGAGCAAGTGTTGTATGCCATTCACTGTATTTTTGTGAGGAGGGAAACAATCCAAGTGGAGCCCACATGGAAACATTTATTCAGCCTATCCCTGGCAATTGAACTGGAAATCAGAATGCTGATTCCTCTCCTCTTGGGCAATGTCATTGAAAATTCTCCCTCAACATCTGTAGTAACTGAAGGCAACTTAACCCTATAATTATTGTAACAAATGGTATGTAGGTCATATATACCAGACTTTAATAACATGAATGATCTCAAGTCTCATATTAATCAAAACCTTCTAGCCAATTGTATTCAGATGAAAATTTGCCTTTCTAATGATCATGCTTATGACTTCATGTTTGCTACTAATAAAATTTTTCTTATTTTATATGAATATATAAAGTATATAATAATTTCATGTTCCAAAAAGAGCATAATGATCTATGGAAAATCTCATAACTGTTGGAACCTTTACTCTTTGAACACTTTCAGGAACTACGTGGACTTTGAGGCCATAGCACTCATTGGAGAGACATTTTTTGACTCCACAAATCATATCAAATCATATCAGTGTGCCAGATGGCTGACTTTCTTCCAGCAAGGTTAGCTTTAAGCAAAATTCTTATGTTAAAAACAATGGACAGTAAAAATAACCTTTCTGAAAGCTTGGATATTGGTGTTATTATTCATAGATGTCTGTTTGGTTTACCTTCTCCAATTTGATGGTGCATTTAAAACAATATTCTCTAGGTGGAGAACAAGTGGGTTTACCCATAGTATCAGTTCTGTTATTTGGTCCTGAATTTAGATATCTTATTTCCTGATACATTTACCATGATGGTGAGATAAGGGAAAGCAAAAAATATCAAAGTGATCACTTTGGTGAGAGAAATGAACAATTTTTGATCTCCTAATGAAAGTGAATTGTGGATAACAGAAAGCAAAAAATATCAAAGTGATCACTTTAGTGAGAGAAATGAACAATTTTTGATCTCCTAATGAAAGTGAATCTTATAGTTTATATCTATGATTTTCAACTTGTAAGTTGAAATTTATTAGAGTTGTGAATTTAATTTAATGGGTGGCAGCCACTATTTGAGAGAATTTCAAACAGCATAGAGTGTAATACAAGATGAAAATATTGAATATATCAGAGTCCCTTGCCAATAGGCAAGAAGAATAAATATTTTACTTAATGTTTAAAAATAAAAAACATTGTGTATTTTTTCAGTCTTATGTATACATACATATGTAGGTAACTTTGAGTGTATGATCTGCTTTTTACTGTGTCATAGTAAAATTTTATGAAAGCCATACTCACATAGGTGTGTATGTAAAACAAATGGATATTTTAAAGACAACTTATACTGGTTCTTCTGTGTGGACTGGAAGAATTAATATCATTCAAATGTCCATACTATCAAAAACAATTTACAGATTCAATGTGATCCCAATCAAAATACCAATGACATTCTTCTCAGATCTAGAAAAATATCTGCTAAAATCCATATAGAAACACAGAGACCCCAAATAGTTAAACAATCTTAATTAACAAAAACAAAGCTGGAGGCATCACAATGCCAGACTTTAAGACATATTATAAGGCAGTTATAATAAAAACAGCCTGGTACTGGCACAAAAATAGACATGTAGGCCAACAGAAACTCCAGGAATTAATGCGCAAATTTACAACCAACTAGTCTTTGACAAATGAGCTGAAATTAATCCCTGGAGAGAGAATAGTCTCTTCAACAAATAGTGCTGGGAAGTATGAAACAGGACTCTTACATTATACCTTGTACAAGAAATAACTCAAAATGGATCAAGGATCTAAATCTATGTACTAATACCATCAAATTACTAGAGGGAAACATTAGAGAAACTCTGTAAGACATTGGTAGGCAAAGACTTCTTGAAAAAGACTCCAAAAAACACAGGAAATTAAAGCAAAACTATACAAACTAGATTACATCAAGCTAAGACTCTTCTGCACTTAAAAGGAAACACTCAACAAAGTGAAAAGGCAACTGACAGAATGGGTGATAAAATTTGCAAACTATGCAGCTGATAAAGGAATAACATCCAGGATCTATAAAGAGCTCAGGAAACCAGCAACTACAAAACAAACAATGCAGTCAAGAAATGGGCAAGGACATGCACATTTTTCAAAGGATGAAATTCAAATCCCCAGTAGATATTTGTATACATGCTCAGGATAATGAGCCATCAGGGAAATGCAAATCAAAATCACAATGAGGTTTTACTTCCCCCCAGTTTGAATGCCTATCATCCAAAAATCAAAAAACAGTAAATGCTGGTGAGGATGTGGGGAAAAAAGTACCCTAATCCACTGTTGGTGGAAATGTAAACTAGTGCAACCATTATAGAAAACATTATTGAGAGTCCACATATATCTGAATATAAAGCAGCTATATGACCCAGCCATCCCACTGCTGGGAATTTACTCCAAAAATGAAATCATCATACAAACTAGTTATTTGTACCCTCATGTTTATTGTGACTCAACTCACAATAGCTACAATATGAAATCAACCAAGATGTCCATCAACTGATGACTGGATAAAGAAAATGTGGTATTTAAATATACCATGAAATAATACTCAGCCATAAAAATGAATGAAATCCTACCTTCAGCAACAAAGTGGATGCAACTGGAAACAGTTATACTTAGTAAAATAAGCCAGGCTCAAAAAAACAAATATTGAATGTTTTCTCTGATATGTGGCAACTAATATAAATACAAAAAAATGTATAAGAAAGGGATGTCACTTTGGGATATGATTGTTATTTTTAGCTCATGTTGAAATTCCTGTGGAACTGTGGTCTTCTTACTTTGTACGTGTTGAATATTATGATTAGTGATGAATTAATCCTGTGAATGTGGAGTGGATTAAAATTATTTTATCTTTGCAAAAGCTGATGAAGATAGGGAGGGAGGGAGGAAGATTGAGGGGAGGAGAATGAAGGAAGTGTGGTTGTCTTCTTGGAACTATACCTATGCAATGCATAAAATCTGTTTCCTTTATTTTAGTAATTTAAAAAAATCTATACTAAATAATATTCATATTACAAGTTGCTAAGTGTGCCCACTCAATTTACTACGTATATGAGAACTTCTTTCCACCCACACTGCAGGGTCATGAATTATGTACACATAATCCCAACATCTATGCAAATCCATTACCACACTTCACCTGTCATTCTTCCTTGTTCCTTTTCTGCCTGCTAGGACTTGCTTTACAAGATCAGGAAGCAAATGAAAATATGTTCCCCCTGTTCATTTTTTAGGAACTTTAGATTCAAGGGCAATTAGGAAGACTTCCTGAAAGTGCTGTGGCTCAACATCTCAGCTGAAGGCTCGCTGGATTCATGAAATTCCTTCCTAGACTTGACTCCACCCAGGAAGGGTCTGAAGCCAGGTTAGTGAGCTTCATCTGCTCTCTGGCCACAGCTTGCCTCATGTGTCTATATGGATTAGTTAATTCATCTCTGTTAGAGCCTAAGGGAGTTAGGTTTGCTGAGGGCTTAGTCTCTGCCTGGCCTTATTCTCTAGCTGCAATATATAACTGATCTTTCTTTTCACTATTCTTTGACTTATTTATGCTCCCCAATGGGCATTTTTTATGGAACAGACAGCACATTTTATTTTTGTGACACCATCACAATATGTGAGAAATAAAATGACCATAGTTCAGCAGGAATATAGGTAAGGGTTTTAGACAGTAATCAAGTGAAAAGATGTGACTTTTGTTCATATACAGTAAATTTTTAAAATAATCACAGATCATTAAAACTATAGTAGTATATCATTTGTAACCATTTGTCTGACAAAGATATGAAACAAAGTTTGACTTTGCTCCATCTGCACCTTCTTTTTTTGACAGAGTTAGACAGTGAGAGAGAGAGAGACAGAGAGAAAGGTCTTCCTTTTCTGTTGGTTCATCCCCCAAATGGCTGCTATGGCTGGTGTGCTGCGGCTGGTGTGCTACACCAATCAGAAGCCAGGAGCCAGGTGCTTCCTCCTGGTCTCCCATGCGGGTATAGGGCCCAAGCACTTGGGCCATCCTCCACTGCCTTCCCGGGCCACAGCAGAGAGCTGGACTGGAAGAGGAGCAACTGGGACAGAATCTGGCACCCCAACCGGGACTAGAACCCAGAGTACCAGCGCTGCAGGCGGAGGATTAGCCTAGTAAGCAGCGGTGCCGGCCTCCATCTGTACTTTCAAGAAAATTATATTAAGGAACTCTGTTAGCAGTTAGGGTTCTGATTTGGAATACCCTATATAGAGTTAATGGTGATGATCATGATGTTGATAACTTTCAGCTATTGTGATGATAATATCTTTGATATTTAGCTTTGAAATGTGGAGCCAGCAGAAAGAGGCAAAGCACAAGACTATGGCAAAGGAATAGAGTTATCTGCTGAAACTTTTACTTTTTCTATACAGTATTTTCTCCACACACAAGAGGGAGTCTTAGTGCTTGCTTCAGTAGCAGACAATTGTATACTTAATTTTAGTTTCATTTGCTTGTCTCCATATGCTTAGGGATCCAGAAATCCTTCACTGTGTAGGAGATTTTCCCAATTAGAGGGTAGTGAGTCACAGTAGGACAGTGATTCTCAACTAGGGAAAATATTTTCCTCCTGGTAACATCTGGAAAAGTCTGAAGACATTTTGGCTGTCAGAACTCTGGAGGTCCATGTACTACTGGCATCTATTGGTAAGAGGCTGGGGATGCTGCTAAACATACTACAGGCATAGGACAACCACAGCAACAAATTATCAGCCATCACAGAATGTCAATAGCAACACTGATATGGAGTTTAAGAATAACTCTCCATATGAATTATCTGGGATGAACTCCAGGCTCCACCAGAATGTTGCTCATTTTTTCATGTCATAGTTTCTTTATTCATAAAATTTTTTGTGATATGATTAAATGTGTTGATGCAAAGAAAATGCTTACAACAGTGATTGGCAAATAGCAGTTCTTGGTAAATGTTACTATTAAAGAAATTTGTGGGGGCTGGCATTGTGTTACAGCTGGTTAAAGCCCTGGCCTGAAGTGCTGGCATCCCAGATGGGTACTGGTTCTAGTCCTGGGTGCTCCTCTTCTGATCCAGCTCTCTGTTGTGGCCTGGGATAGCAGTAGAAGATGGCCCAAGTTCTTGGGCCCCTGCACCCATGTGGGAGACTGGAGGAAGCTCCTGGCTCCTGGCTTCGAATTGGCCCAACTCTAGCCATTGTGGTCATCTACGGAGTGAACCAAAGATGGAAGCTCTCTCTTTCTGTCTCTACCTCTCTCTGTAAGTCTTTCAAATAAATAAAATAAATCTTTAAAAAAGAAATTTGTGGCTACTAAGGAATGATGCTTCAGTGAACATACATCTTTCCAGGTACTTCTGACATTCCTTTCTTCTGCTGTAGAATGGTCAACAGTTGAGAGAAAGCCTTTTCCATTTTACACTTTAGCTGGCTTGAAAACAGATACTTGTGTCTTTTTCTGGGGCAGGTTATTTTGTTATGAGTATCTCAGTGTGCCCAGTGAATTTACTGTGTGGTTATTTAGTCTGATAAGTTGTGTGAGGTTATCACCTTTAGTTGGATAAACCTTCTTTCTGTATTGCAGGTGAAGATACTAATGCATGAAAATGAAGGCTCGGGCAACTTTCATTTGCTGTTTAGTATTATTTCTGGCCACAGAATGTTCCCACCTTAGACCCAAGATTCACATAAAAGTAAGTTTGACCATTATTATGTGGTCAACCAAGAGAAATCCTTCAGTTCTCTTTGGTGGCCAGATTTGAAATAAACAGCATTTCATTTTAAATGACTGCAGCTTTACATTTGGTGATAATTTTATAAAAAAGGAAGCAAAGAAGAGAGGTGGCAGAGACTCACCTGGGGAACCACAGTACATTAGAATAATCACATCATAAGCCATAGAGAATTTAGATAGCCAACTATTGAGAGGAGAAAGTTGGGCAGTAAAGCAATTTAGCCTCTGATCTTAACTTTGCTTTGCCCTAGTTACAAGAGTTGTTTCATTTTTCTGAGTCTTAAGCTCCTTATTTATAACATGGAAATTAAAAAAAATATATTATTTACAGTCACTTATAGGTATAAAGATTTAAGATTTTATTATTACAGCTTAATGATTACTCCTAATATCTGTGAATTAGGATATACAGGACCTGGTGGCCCATATTAGCTCCATCTCATGCTTAATAATACAGGCGGAGAATAATTTATGGGTTTAATTTTCATCATCATGTTCTCCCTGGATATTTAAACTTTCCAAAAGATATACCCAGTCCAATAAGTTGACCTTCAGAGTCCAAGAGACCACTGTCAAGGTTCTAGCCCTTATGGGAGGACAGTGTATTTTCTGTGCTCTCAGCAATAAGTTCTTGCTATGCCAGCATGTGAATCTGCTGCCCTTGTCTTCCTAGTGCTGAACACATTTTCTCCTCATATTCATGTGGAGCCTCTAAAGAATACTATAGTAAAGAGGACCTTTGGGAATTTATGTATTTCAGAATGGAGATAAGCCTCAAAGCCCTGAAAGGAATCCTAAGACTGGAAGGATACAAGGTATGTGCCTACTGTACAGTCTTCATCCTTTGGGAGACAAGGTAGACTAAAGGACAAGCTTTAGTGTTGCAATAGTGTTCCCAGTCCATGACTTTCCAACTGAACAACAATCTAATAAGTTCTCTATATTTACCAGTATTGATAGGTTTTCTTATATCATTATCAACGGCATAGCTAATGAAGCAAGCTGGCAAGTATTCTCGTGTTTTCCACACTAGTTAAACAACTATCAATTTTCAAACCTAGAGGGGGAAATCTGCTCAAAATCTGCTCAAAAATGATCTAATAGAAGGCAGAAAAGTAAAGAGGACAAAATTTAAGCTTAATTCCATCAAAGATCTTTCAAGGTGCTTAAATGTACACCACTCTGTTGCTGCAAGGTCTATTAAAATGATGCAAGATGGATATCATGATGGTCAGACTGGCCATACTCAAGAAGTGAGAAGTAGACCAATGAGGGAATCATTAGTAATAACATATGAATCATGTGGTTCTCACTCAAATTAGGGCTAACTGGATTCAGCCCAGTCATGGCCTTGTGTATTTTGGGTGGCAAACATATTTTTTTTATAAATGTGGAATTGATAAGGGAAAAAGAAGAGACATAGCTAACATTTATTGGGCATTTATGACAATATGGATCTAAGTGTTATTTAAGATGATGTCTCATTCAATATTTGAAACTACCTTATGGCATCATCTTCATCTAGTGGATAAGAAATTGAAAACTATTTTGATTAACTATCTTGTAAAAAATTGATACACTTGGTGGATGTCAAAGAAAGATGCAAATCTACTGTTCCTCTCCCAGAAAATGGAGTCATCTGTAAAGTTGTCCAAGTCATACAGACATGGGCACTCCTGGACTCTCAGCTAGTTGGTCACTGATTTCAATACCTTAATAGCATGTGGAATGACTTCTTCCCATTTCCACTGCCATTGTCTGAGGCAATTTCTCCTGGCATTATTTCAATGGCCTCAATATCAGACTCACTGTCATACATCAGTCCATTCAACCTACAGGCCAAATTCTACCTGCCACCAGTTTTTATAAATAAAGTTTTATTGGAACATAGCCAACCCTGTTCATTAACATATTTTCTTTGCTTTTATGCCAGAAAGGCAGAGTTGAAAAGTTGATACAGAGACCCACATGACTTATGAAGTGGAAAATATTTATTCTCTCACTAGGTTTAATATAGGAGGCAAAAATATAGGATGATTTCAGATCAATGATGAGTAATATTGCATCAGTCATTTATACACTAAAAAGTTGTTCATTGCTTAACTGAACATTCACAGTTGCCCCCATTATTTGCAGGTTTCTGTTATTTGCCAATTTGCTTACTCACTGAAATTTATTTGTGACCCTACATCAATATTCACAGTGCTTTTGTGGTTCTTCACAGATATGCACATAGCAACAAAACATAAATTGCATTTCAGGTTACATATGATCCCTACTGTGGTTGACCAAGGTGATGTTCCCCCTTTTTGTTCTAACTCCCATTCTGTAGATAAATATCCTTTCCCTGTCTACATATTGCCATAGGGTGTTTGTGTGTGTGTGTGTGTGTGTGTGTGCTTCCTGTTGTTGGTTTTGCTATTTAAAATGGCTGCTAGCCATAGTGCTGACATACTTTCTAGTGTTCCTAAGCCAAAGATGGCTAGGATGTGTTTTGTGGAGAAAATCCTTGTGTTAGGTAAGTTTTGTTCAGGCACAAAGTAAATGCTATTGGCTGTGAGTTCAGTTAACCCATAACATATATTAGGTAAAGTGTTTTTAAGTGAAAAGACACATAAAACAATGTTGTATTTACAGCTGATGAAAACTGTTAAAATCTTGAAGGAATTTAACCTTATATTTCCCTAGAAGCAATGGTTCAGTGTTTACTAAATTCAGTGTTTATGATGATTTTATAGAACAAAACTTCTGTGAATAGTGAGAATCTTCTGTACCTGAGAGTAAATTTAACATTACGTTGGGTTTTCTGGTTTTTTTTTTTTTAATTTAACAGCTCCATTTATCTGTTCCTTTAAAAAGTTAAGTAACTCCTGCTCTGTGTTGTCAGTTAACATTCAGAAAGTAATTCAATCACATTTTCTGGTAACTCATTTTTATTTTTTCTGACAGGCAGTTAGACAGTGAGAGAGAGAGAGACAGAGAGAAAGGTCTTCCTTCTGTTGGTACACCCCCCCAAATGGCTGCTACGACTGGCGCACTGCGCCGATCTGAAGCCAGGAGCCAGGCGCTTCCTCTTGGTCTCCCATGTGGGTTCAGGGCCCAAGCACTTGGGCCGTCCTCCACTGCCTTCCTGGGCTACAGCAGAGAGCTGGACTGGAAGAGGAGCAACCAGGACAGAACCGGTGCCCCATCTGGGACTAGAACCCAGAGTGCTGGCGCTGAAGGTGGAGGATTAACCTAGTGAGCCACGGCGCTGGCCTCTGGTAACTCTTAACTAGCACAGCATCATAGGTCCTTCATGACATAATTTCTGATTTTTTCCCACTTGCATTTTTGCCACTTCCCTTTCAGGTGCTCTGAATTAGCCTATCTGAATTGTCCACAATTTGCCTGTCTACATGCTAATCACTCTTCCTCAATGCCAACCTCACAGTCTGCAGCTGTTTCTCATTGCTGTGGACCCAGTTCAATGTCTCCTCTTCCACAAAGCAATCCAAACTCCCCCAGAATGGATTAGATGTTATTGTCAGAGAAGAGAAATTCTAAGTTGGGTTCTTACTTTTTCTCTTTTCTGTTTTAGAGAAATGCCATGGATCTTGCAGTTCTCCTTCCAACTGCAGCCAGCCCTGCGGTAAACACTTTCATGGAGAAGTAGGATTTACATGTGATCAAAAAAAGTGGCAAAAATCAACTGAAACATGTACAAGCCTTTCCTTGGATACACTCTTTCAGGTGATGCATTTACATATGACTAGGGATAGAAGCCAATACCTGAGGAGGTAACAGAGGCATTTTCAATGTGGTCTGTTCAGCATGGCATAAATATCAGACCTGGTCTTAGGAAAAGCTGCAGACTGGGTTAAATTGGTTTCTTGTCCTACCTTCCTTATACAAACCCTCCCGTCTCTTAACTCATTTCTCAAAACTTAAATCATTTCTCAAAACAAACCAACCAACCCTGAAACTCATTTATACTATAATGTAAAAAACTTCTTAGTGGGTTAAGTTTTAGCTCTAAAGGTGGGTTTATATGCGCTTGTGCCAATTAATTAATCAATTGAATGTGTATAGAAATGTAATTAATTTTGAAATCTTTCTCTTGTACCTTCAATCACTTGACTAATAAAAGGAGGAATATGTGATCCAGAGGGAACAGAATAAATTCAATGTGTAATAATTAATCTCAGTTAAATCAAAATCTCCTATCTAATATCTTTCCACTTAGCAACCATTTCTTCTTTCTCTCATATCCCGTTGAGGCACATAGATTTCTGTATTTCCTTAAATTTTATTGGTGGTTTTATAAAAGAATTGCAGGTGAAGTCTCTATCACTTAACACAGGTAATCATGAAGAAGTAATTGCAACTATGATAGCATTCAGAAGGGAATAAATGGAATTAAATTCTTGCATTCCCTTATCTAAAGTCACATTCCAAGTAATTGTAGGTAAAAGTACTAGGAAATGAGTGAATAGCTTTTAGTTAATGAAATCTGAATTTCTGAAATCACAATAACTTTAGCATTCAGTGTTGAATGTGCCAATGTGCAAGACCCATTACCCTTGAAATCCTTGCTCTGTTTACCCATATCTCTGTAGAGAATTGGTTGTGATAGTACTCAGGGCAAAATCACTGTTCTGAAAGAAAATGTCCGAAAGAAAGGTTAACATCACAATCTAGTGGGAGGCCGGCGCCGCGGCTCACTAGGCTAATCCTCCGCCTAGCGGCGCCGGCACACCGGGTTCTAGTCCCGGTCGGGGCTCCAGATTCTGTCCCGGTTGCCCCTCTTCCAGGCCAGCTCTCTGCTGTGGCCAGGGAGTGCAGTGGAGGATGGCCCAGGTGCTTGGGCCCTGCACCCCATGGGAGACCAGGAAAAGCACCTGGCTCCTGGCTCCTGCCATCGGATCAGCGCGGTGCGCCGGCCGCAGCGCGCCAGCCGTGGCGGCCATTGGAGGGTGAACCAACGGCAAAAGGAAGACCTTTCTCTCTGTCTCTCTCTCTCACTGTCCACTTTGCCTGTCAAAACAAACAAACAAAAAAAAAAACCAAAAAAAAAAAAAAAACCCCAAAAACAATCTAGTGGGAATTTCAGTGGAATCTCTGCCTATTTATGACTCCACATTTCTTATTCTCTGTACAACTCAGGATGTACACTTGCTTCTCCATCTATTTTCTCTGTATGGATTGTGTCTTTTGCTCTTTTAATCTGACACATTAATTACTTAAGCATTTTTGAATGAAGCAATATATTTTTTCAACAGGACTCAGACGATGTATCGCGCCTTTCTGTGGTAGCACCCTCCATACCTCTGCACATTCTTGACTTTCGAGCTCCAGAGCCTATTGAGAGCGTGGCTCAAGGAATCCGTAAGAACTGCCCCCTTGATTATGCCTGCATAATTGATGTTGTGAAATCATCAGAAACCACATCTGGAAACATTGCATTTATAGTGGAGTTATTAAAAAATATTTCTACAGACTTGTCTGACAATGTTACTCGAGAGAAAATGAAGGTATTCTTCGTTAAATTAATTAAAAACTGATGATGTTTTTCTGAAGATCTTATATTTTGACACTTATAAATGTACTTCTCAGGGTAAAAACTACAACTGTTAAAACAACAGCAGGCATTTCAATTTTGAAATAGTCATTCTAATTTATAGATGTTTTCAAAAAGGATATTTTTAAAAATTCATTTTTATACACATTATTTTCAAGAAAATATCACACAGTAATGATCATGACTAAGACTGACTATTTCAGTGTTCCCCAATTATACTCTATAGAACTTAAGTGTTCTAAGAAATGTTAATGGAGGTTCCTTTTTAATTCTTTTTTTCTTCTTAATTGACATAATAATTATACATATTTGTGGGGTACTGTTTGATAGTCCAATAAATCTATGCAATGTGCAATGATTACATTAGTATTTCTGACTCCTTATATCTTACATATAGAATTTTAAAAAGTTGATTTCAAAGAAGAAAGGTAGGGGTGAATACTTGGTACAAAGGTTAGGACACCACTTGGGATGCCCACATTCCGTATCAGAGTGCTTGGGTTCGAGTCCTAGCTCTATTTTAGATTCCAACATTCTATTAATGTGCACACTGGGAGGCAGCAGGTAATGTGTCAAATACATGGGTCCCTGACAGCCATATAGGAGACTCAGATTAAAATCCAGCCTCCTGGCTTTGGCCTGGCCCAGCCTTGGATGTTTAGGGAATTTGGGGAGTGTATGGAAGATTGCTCTTTCCTTGTCTGTCTGTCTCAGTCTCTCTTCCTTTCAAATAAATAAAACAATATGTAAAAGTTAAAGCAAAAATAAGGGAGTGAATTAATGGTCACTAAAGGCTAAGAAGTATAGGGAGGTGTTGGATAGACAGAGGTTGTTTCACAGCAATGGAAATGCACTTACATGGGAATTCCATTTTAAACAGGGAGATGAATGGCACAGCAGTTGTAGGAAGATCTGGGTTAGCAAAGCTGAGCAGATTTCCTTATGGCAGGATTTTCAGAGCTTTTCGTGAGCTAATGAATGTTGGAACTCTTTATAAGAAGGATGATATAGGAATACGGTATGTCGTATTTCTCAAACTTAGATGACTGTAGAATCCACCCCCACTCCCCTCCATTAAGCATCATTATCCCTAATGAGAATCTTGGGTTCTCACTGCAGTTTGGAAATTCTGCCCTATGTGCAATAGAAGAGCAGGTCAACTTTAGTTGTTTAATTTTTATTTTCTTTTTACTTTTCTTCCCTCTGTGCAACCTCACTAATATGTCATTCTAATACAAAAAAAGGGAATTTGAAGAGATATATGTCAAATAAAATGAAACAACTGAATATGTAGAACTTTCAGATTTTAAAAATCGACATTTTACCTGAGTGTATAAATCCTTGGTGTAACATCCTCCTTTCACCATTGCAGAGCTACGGTGAAGTGGCTAACCACATCCTCAACACCACAGCCATTTCAAACTGGGCCTTCATTCCTGACGTGAACGCCAGCTCAGATCTGCTGCAGTCAGTGAACATGTTTGCTGGACAGCTCCGAATCCACAATGAATCTGAGAATATTGTGGATGAACTCTTCATTCAGACAAAAGGCTTTCACATCAGCCGCAATACCTCAGAGAAAAGTCTGAACTTTTCCATGCACTTGAACAATACAACAGAAGATATCTTAGGAATGATAGAAATTCCTCAGCAGGAGCTAAGGAAGCTGCCGCCAAATGCATCTCAAGCCATTAGCATAGCTTTTCCAACCTTGGGGGCCATTCTGAAAGAAGCCCACTTGAAGAATGTGAGTCTTTCCAGACCTGTGAATGGTCTGGTCCTTTCAGTGGTTTTACCTGAAAGCCTGAAAGAAATCCTGCTCACCTTTGAAAAGATCAACAAATCCCGGACTGCCAGGGCCCAGTGTGTTGGCTGGCACTTCACGCAAAGGCGGTGGGACGAGAAGGTGTGTGAAACGACGTTGGATATCATGAGCAAAGTCAAATGTCGCTGCAACTACACCAATGCGCTGATGTCTTTTTCTATTCTGATGTCCCCCAGATTGGTGACTGACAAAGTTCTGGACTACATCACCTGTATTGGGCTCAGCATCTCAATCCTTAGCTTGATTCTCTGCCTGATCATTGAAGTTACGGTTTGGTCCCGGGTGGTTGTGACCGAGATATCATACATGCGTCACGTGTGCATTGTGAACATAGCAGTGTCACTGCTGACTGCTAATGTGTGGTTCATTGTAGGCTCTATATTTAACAGAAAGGACCAGGACTACAACTGGTGTGTTGCAGTGACATTTTTCAGCCATTTTTTCTACCTCTGTCTGTTTTTCTGGATGCTCTTCAAAGCACTGCTCATCGTCTATGGAATACTGGTCATTTTCCGGAGGATGATGAAGTCCCGCATGATGGCCATTGGTTTTGCCATTGGATATGGGTGCCCGTTGGTCATTGCTGTCACCACAGTTGCAGTCACAGAGCCAGAGAAGGGCTATGTGAGACAGGAGGCTTGCTGGCTTAATTGGGACAATACCAAAGCCCTTTTTGCATTTGTTATCCCAGCCTTGGTCATTGTGGCTGTGAATCTCATTGTGGTTTTGGTTGTGGCTTTCAATACTCAGAGACCCTCTATTGGCAGTTCCAAGTCTCAGGATGTAGCCATAATTATAAGGATCAGCAAAAATGTTGCCATTCTCACTCCATTGCTGGGACTGACCTGGGGTTTTGGAATAGCCACTCTCATAGAAGGCACTTCTTTGATATTCCATATAATCTTTGCCCTACTAAATGCTTTCCAGGTAAGTTCCACGAAGGAAATTTTTTTGTGTGTGTTCTGGCTAGACCAACAAAAATGCCTATTATTTAAACTAGTAGAACACAAAATATTCCCTTCATTTTCTTCCATATATTAAGAGTATTTGACTGTTGCATCTCAAACCCTATTGATTGTTCAGTTAGATGGTCTGGCTCATTGGTAGGAATCTCCTTTCTTCTCTTCCGATTTCCTTTGCATCCCTCCTAAAGTTTCACTGTCTGGAGAACTTAACCTTCATTTATAGAGGGCTAACCTTAGCTCACGGTAAGTGAGACTACTCAAATATTATGCCTCAAAGCCAGCACAAGTTTTATCTTTTCTCTAGTATTTGTGAACTCAGTAGAATGGATGTTTTCCATAGTGTGAAGGGATGACCCTTGATACTTACTTTGGGTATTAATCAGGAGTTTCATACCTCTCTCCTCTAATTCCCTGTGGGATCAGTGCAAGTCATTGTAGAAGTAGATCTTTTGATACATTACCTGATCTTGGGAATGTCACTTTCGTCTAGACTTGAACCTTCCAGTCTGTGAAATAAGTTATAGCTCTCCAGTGATCTCTGTTGTTGTCATCCGCTTAACGTGCTTGGTCTGGCAGGTTCCTCTAAAAGTTGTTTCACTCCCTCTCATCTACTAAGCTTGCAATTCTGAGGAGCTGTCATAAGCCAGAATGGAGTTCATACCTCTGAGTAATGGTGAATTTAGCAGCTCTATATACTTAATTATGCTTTTAATCAAGGGTTGGCAAATGATTACCTGCTGCCTGTTTTTGTAAATAGGACTTTATAGGAACACAGCCATATTCAGTTGTTTACATTTTTTCTGTGACTTCTTTTGAGCTTCACTGGCAAATTTGAGCTATTGCAGCAGGCTCTGTGGCCCACAAAGCCCAAAGTAGTTACAGTGATGTTCTTTGCAGAAAAAAATTTATTATTGCTTCAACTATTATGAATAAAACTACTTGGAAAAGCGGCAGAGTATTCATAGTTACATGCCACTCTGCTCTAGTTAAAAGCAAGGCACAAAATACAAAGCATACTTTAAAGAAATGCCAACCTAGATCCATTATATATCACACATATAATTCTTTAATAACAATGGAACACATTTCCTTAACTTATCCTGTGCCATTGCTTTAGAGAGAAACCTTTAAGTGTTTTATTTTTTTTTCTCTTGAAACCGAAAGCTCTTGGACTGATGAATTTCCCACTATTGAAGTCACTCTGGTGACTGATGATCTCATCGCTTTTCTTACTTTGTAACTTAATTAAATGTGGGGAGCTCTGCTCTATATAATTCTTTTTTAGTTCATTTGTGTTTCTCTTTTCCTGACAGAAAAAAAGCATGCATTTTTATTTACATATAATACTCTTTTCTCAGGAAACTTTCCTTATGACTCACATTTAAAATTTTCGGTCATCTGGGTCAGTGTTTCTTCTCTCTCTCTCTCTCTCTCTCTCTCTCTCTCTCTCCTTAGATTAAAAAAGAGATCCTCCTGGCAGTAATTCTGTAGCTTTCTCTTTTATGCAGAACTTTCTCACCAGCTCAAAGACCCTGTCTGCCTATTTACTATTAACGTAAACTGAAAGTAGACTAGAATACAAGCCTGATTTTCTTAAGACACTTTCCATGACTGATTTTGAATTACAAGATTCCATGTCCTGTATTACTATCATGAGTAAGAACAATGACCATAACATTTGCGAATAAAGCAAGAAAAACTTAATAATATTAAGAGCTCTATCCTATAACTGGAGCTATTTCAATCAATCTCACGCACTGTCCCATAAGGGTGCTCTTCCAAGGGTGGAGATTGACTCCAAGGAAATACTCTTTATGCATGTGTCCCCACTTCAGTGGAAACTGGCTTCTAATGACCAAAAGCTACCCTAGAAGGTACCTAGGAAATTTGATAGTAAAATAATAGCATGGATATTGTTTACAAGCCGTCTCTGAATGATTCTGTTGAATTTTGCCACAGGGTTTCTTCATCTTACTTTTTGGAGCCATTATGGATCACAAGGTATTTTGAATTGGCTGCACTCATTGTAAATGATTTTCATGTGGTTGAGGGAAGCAGGAGGGTGAAGCTGCTTTGCTGGGGAGTGAAGTCCGGGGAGCTTTGCTTGTGAGGATGGTGCAGAGCATCAGCTGCAAGGAGAGGGAACTATCCTCTCTTATCAAGTCAACAGAGGCTGTGTGTGAGTAATGCTGGTGAAAAGAATCAAAAGCATGGCCATAGTTTTAATCAGAATTCTAAATCTAGCTATAACTACACTTCCAGTGTTATCCAAATATCATTATTTGCCAGGCGGTTGCTCTTGCTGAGGTTACAGGTCTCAAGGTTTCAGGACATGCCCGTGAGCCTGGGGATTCTGCTGTTTCCTCTGACATCTGTATATTTCTCACTGTTACTGCTTTTTAGATAAGAGACGCCTTGAAGATGAGGATGTCATCACTGAAGGGGAAATCGAGGGTAGCAGAGGTAAGCGCTTACCTTTTAGTCTCAACCCTGGGTGGTCCTCTACATTTTGCTGATGCAAATATTATAGGTTAGATCTCAGGGTTTGTTACAGGCAAAGAGTCACATGTTTCCTCCTTGTATACATCTGGAGTGCTCCTCCCCCCATACTGATGGTCGACAGCATATTCCCTTCCAGAGAACTTTCTACAGGGTGTGTTTCAGCTTGACATGTGGTGATGGGACCACATGAATCCAGGATTACTGAATCATAGAATGTGAGAGCTAGGAAATGAGAGATGAATTAAAAATGAGATTTAGGGCTGGCGCCGTGGCTCACTTGGTTAATCCTCCGCCTGTGGCCCCGGCATCCCATATGGGCGCCAGGTTCTAGTCCCGGTTGCTCCTCTTCCAGTCCAGCTCTCTACTATGGCCCAAGAGTGCAGTGGAGGGTGGCCCAAGTGCTTGAACCCTGTACCCGCATGGGAGACCAGGAGGAAGCACCTGGCTCCTGGCTTCGGATTGACGTAGCTCTGGCCGTAGCGGCCATTTGAGGAGTGAACCAATGGAAGGAAGACCTTTCTCTCTGTCTCTCTCTCTCACTGTCTAACTCTGTCAAATGAAAAACTAAATTTAAAAAAATGAGATTTAGCCCAACCCACTCATTTAACAAGTAAGAAACTGAAGTCCAGGGAACTTAGGAGATGTGCTCAAGTTCACCCAGCTGATCAGGAGCAGAATCACAACTAGGACCAATGTCATGAATTTTTTTTTTTGACAGATAGAGTGGACAGTGAGAGAGAGAGAGAGAGAGACAGAGAGAAAGGTCTTCCTTTGCCGTTGGTTCACCCTCCAATGGCCACCGCAGCTGGCGCGCTGTGGCCGGCTCACTGCGCTGATCCGAAGGCAGGAGCCAGGTGCTTCTCCTGGTCTCCCATGGGATGCAGGGCCCAAGCACTTGGGCCATCCTCCACTGCACTCCCTGGCCACAGCAGAGAGCTGGCCTGGAAGAGGGGCAACCAGGACAGAATCCGGCGCCCCAACTGCGACTAGAACCTGGTGTGCCGGCGCCGCTAGGCGGAGGATTAGCCTGGTGAGCTGTGGCGCTGGCCTTCATGAAAATCTTTCCATGCTCCTTGTTCATGACTGATTCCAGTAAACCATACTTTTTCTAGTTTGGTGTATCCAGGTACTTACAGATCTTGAAGTCTTTTGATTTGGCACTCTGTATTTTAAGGCACTAAAATTGCCAACATTACCAGATTAGTTAAAACCAATTGTTCAACAGACTGATTATGAGCTACTTTCTTAAAAATAGACTTTCTGGATACACTGGGAATCATCACATCTATAATTAACTAGGATTGAATATGACCTTTAATATCATAGTGATCAATTTTAAGATAAGCATTTTCTTTAATTTATCATTCCAAATTGAAATATATCTTATAGTCAATGGTATGCCATGACTTAATTGGTAAGTTTTAGTTCTATTTTTTGACAGAACATAAAACTAATGAGGTAGCATACTATGTTAATTAAGTGGAATATGATAATTTAATTCTGCATAGCAGTGTCAATTTGCGTACTTTTCTTCATGTCTTCATTTTCACATGTTTATCTCCAGGCAGGCATACACAAAAATGTAAATATCTGTCTTTTATCCAAAGCAGTATGCATTGTCACCACTATTATTTCTCTCCCATTTAGAATGCATCACTAAGCCCAACCAATGGATCTAAATTAATGAATCGTTAAGAATGAAATGTGAGTATTAAAAATTCAAAGATAAACTTTACTTGTGAGTTGTATCAAGACACTCAGTGCCCTTTGGGAATGTACTATTCTTTGCTATCTTATGCTAGAATGAGGTGGGAAGGGAATGGGGAGGCCTAATTTCTTCATTGCTAAGTACACAAATGAAAATATGAACACTTTCTTTGAAATTGATGTTATCTCAGTATAAATGACTAAACCTTAAGCATGCTCTTAATTTCTGTCCTCTGAGCAGATGCTGTTATTATCGCACAGATACAGTGCTATCTTAACTGCTCACATGCCTTAACATCATCTAATCAGTGAATACTAACCCTTACAATAGCCCCATGAATGAGAGGAAAGATTTGATTGATTGAAATAGCAAAGCAACAGACCCACCCCTTTCTACTGAAATGGGGCCCAGAATCATTCCTATGGGCGTGTCAGTGGGGTTGTGGCCAATTAGCTGCCTACTCACAGTCAACCCATGAGACTTATTTCTACAGGAGTAAAACCAGGGTAAAAGACTCGTAGGCAGTCATGAAGGGCAGAAAGCCTGAGAAGTAACATGAGGGCATAGGCAGGGTTGTTCAGCCTTTGTAATGGTGTTGTCTGGGAGAGGTTTCATGGCCTTTATGCATGGACCTGGATGAGTCTTAGACATTTCTTTTCATTAAACACCATCTGGCTTCAGCCACATCCTCTTTTACATTACTTACCTTTTGAGTCATGACCATATATGACCAATGAGGCAAAACAAGGGATTAAAACAACCTCATGGAACCAAAGACATTGTGAGTTGGAAGAACCCTTATGGGATCTCCTATGTTACAGGTCCTTCAAACCTGATGTTCTGGTGTGGAACATGGGCACATGGTGCCAGGGATAGGGAGGGGTAGTATTAGGGCTCTGTAAACATTAGCTGACATGAATGGGGTGCTGGGAAAACAAAGAAAGTGCAATTCTAGCACCTTATCATTAATTGATTATCTCCACATTTAGATTTTTATATTAGAACTTTAAAAAGGTTGACTCTTCTAGCTTTTTCTAATTTCTAGTCGGCAGGTTTCCTCCACAGTGGTGTATCATTATAACATTTCTTGATTTGTCACTAATTGAGAGTCACTAATTCAGCTGGTCCCAATTTGATGACAACCTGTTTTGGGTTTATCAGACTGTCTCAGGCAGAGGAGGCTCCACCCTACCTCCTTAGGATATTCTATCCAGCCTCTCAAGAAAGAAGTCTGGTTGAAGTCTTATCTCCGCTAGTTGAATATACATGGTTGGCCATAATAAAAGTTGGATAAAACCTGTAGAAACCGAGATCAGAGACTATACTATTTATAGACTTGGGGAGGTATGCAAGACCTTAGACCCACCTTAAGAGGACGTCTAGGAAGGAAGTGGGAATGCATTACCCCAGGAACTCCTTGCTAAATTATTTTGCAACTTTTAGCTTCTATTTTTGAACCCAGTGGGTAGGTAATGTACCAAACATTATTTTTCTCAGCATATCCTCCACAGGTGGCCATGTGACTATTGCCATTTCTCAAAAACTGGAGTATATGCTTTTTTACATCAAGACTTATGGTATCAGAAGTGTACTGGAGGGGCTGGTGCTGTGGCGTGGTGGGTTAAAGCCCTGGCCTTAAGTACCGGCATCCCATATTGGTGCCGGTTCTAGTCCTGGCTGCTCCCTTTCTGATACAGCTCTCTGCTGTGGCCTGAGAAAGCAGTAGAAGATGGCCCAAGTCCTTGGGCCCCTGTACCCACGTGGGAGACCTGGAAGAAGCTCCTGGCTTTGGTTCGGCACAGCTCCGGCTGTTGCAGCCATCTGGGGAGTGAACCAGCAGATGGATGACCTCTCTTTCTGTTTCTATCTCTCTCTGTACCTTTTTCAAATAAATAAAATAAATCTTTCAAAAAGAGTGTACTAGAACAGCAGCTGGCATCATGGCAGACCATATTGGAAACCCAAAAAGCAACAGAATACAGGGACAGCAAATTCACAATATTCACAATAATGATTTTCTTTTCTTTTTTTTTTGTATAAAACAATTTATTGAATTTTTTTGGGGGGGGGATTCCATCACATCACGCTGCATCACTGCATTACAACTGAGCCATTAATCTTGTAGCTTCATCAACATTAACAGGTTCATTTTCATGACTCTGCTGAGGAATCAGCTCTTTCTGTAACGGTTCCAGAGAAAGGCCCCTTGAGAAGTTTGCAAGTTCCTTTTGTATATTTATAAAAGCTTTGTTCACTCTGTTAACTTTGTCTTCGTTCATAATGTTTATCTTCTTAAGATTAGTAGTAACTGGTTTTGCTTTGTTTTTAGCCTTAAAATTTTTTTGGCTGGCTATGTGAAATACATTTTTGGACTTCTGTCCTCTTAATTTGTTCTTGGCCATTGTTTTAAATCCCCGCGTGCTGCAGCTGGAGGCCCAGGTGACGCCATCTCACAATAATGATTTTCAAAGGATCATTGGGGAGCAGGCATCACCAAGTGGGGTCTGTTAGCAGGGAGAGGGACTACAGGCACAGGGATTATGGCAGAATTCAACTCAGGCACATCTGGGGAGATTGGTAAGCATAAAGCAGGGCCATAGTCTGGGACATGGCTAATCCTTAGAGAAAATCTATTTCAGACCTTCAACCTGAACACAAAATCAAAGACTGAGCAGGTCCCAGGAGGCAGGCAGAATTCCAGTGGTGAGAAAGGGGCAGGCAATCAGCACTGTACTTGTAAGAGAATTGAGGCTCCTAGTGTAGGAGGAAACCCCTCACATTCCAATGACATCGTCGGGATTGTTTCCAGAAACTGGATTGACAACACTCTGTCAAGTAGTCTGGGGGTCAGAAAAGGGCATCAGATGTATGAAAGTGGGAAATTTGGTTCAGTTACGGATTCTAGCAAGGAAATCCAGGCAGGGAAGAGGGGGCATCACAGGTGCACAGCGCCCTCTTCTGTTTATATGAAGGGCAGTCTTTTATGTAACAGACTTACAGGCAGTATGGTTCCAGTGGTGCCAGCAAGCCTCTCAGTTCTTCGTAGATGTCTGATTTTAGGCCTGAAATTCACTTACAAGGATACAAAGTTCTTCATTCCACAGTAAAAAAATAAGCAAAGACAACAAAGCAAGCAACAGGGTTTACAATGTAAAATGGTAAACTCAGAGAGACAGAATCATGCCAGTGACCAAATTCATGCAGCAAAGGAGGTGCTATGATAGGGTTTAGAGAGCAGCATAGAGAAGACAAAAGACGTAGGAGAAAATGGCTGGGAAAATGGCCTTCCCTCTGTATGACCCTGGGAACATCATTTATGTCTCTCTGCCCCATTTCCTCATCTGTAAAAGGGAGTTCATACTAGTACATACCTCTTAGGACGGTTTGGGGTTGCGGGTGGGAGGGATGTTATGGGGGGGAAGCCATTGTAATCAATAAGCTGTACTTTGGAAATTTATATTCATTAAATAAAAGTTAAAAAAGAAATAAATGAGCTAATACATTAAAAAACTCCTAGAATCGCATTGGGGTCAAATTAAGTTTTCAGTAAATTCCAGCTATTATTTTTTCCAATAACAAGTATCACAATCACTTTGCCCAGGTTGCCTCCTTCCTTGAGGATGTCCTGCAAATGAGACTGAGAGTGAGCTCCTGGAGGAAGACAAGGAAGCCAGGCTTGACTGAGAAGAGACTGCCATGCTTCCTTGAAAGACATTTTCCTTCTTCCAGCAGTGACACCCAAGCTCTTGATGTGCAAATATTTGATGAGAAAAGTTTAAGGATGGCATTTGATGACTGGGCTTTAGCAATGCTGATAGACTGACCTGTTGACCTACCCTTGACGTACAAGAGGTTGTTTTCCTGGCCAAGCTTGGGAAGATTAGCAATGAACCTGCCGAAATGTTATGGTCTCCTTGGCAAGACTGAGGTTACTGGGTTTCTACTGGACTTGGTCTGCTTTTCTTTCTGATACCAGTGCTATACCTCTATGATTCCATCATCATCTCTTTGCACAGATTCTGGGCACTTTGGGGAATGGGGGCTCCATCCAACTTCAGGGGTAAGGATAGAATAGCAATGGGAGGGCTAGGCAGGAGAAACAGTCTACTTTGGAGACAGTTATGGCCTGTGGGCTCCCTAAAGGTAAGGAACAGAGGAGAAGTCTGAGAATTATTTAATGTGTTTGTTATTTTAATCTATGTTAGACACTGATGAAATAATTTAGTTTCTAGAATCTTAGTTTCCTCATGTGTGAAAAAGAAAAAATATTCTTGTAGGTTTTATTGTTTGTGTGTTTTGTGTGTACCTGCACACAGAGTGCATGTATGTCTTTTTAAACCACTATAAATAAAGAAAATTCATGTTGTTATTTTAGAAATAACAATGAATATATTTAACTTTCACAACATGCTCATGTGTGCCACGATAAATTTCCTCACTGGTACCACAAGATTCTTGTGTACTAATTCTATTTTCAGTCCACCTGAACTCACTGTATAGACCTGCAGGAGGCTAGAGAATGAAATCCTATCATATGCCCACAATGAAGCAACTTAGAAATATTTGGCAAAAAGCACTACTTTGGACTGCCTTTCAGGGCCTCTCAATGAAATCTCTATCACCAGTTTGGTTTTAAATAGCAAGGCATTTAGTAGTGCCCTAGACGGACATATGAATGGGAGTAAAGCAATATAAAGTAAAAGCCATAAAAGCAATTTAATCACCCCCTTGACATAAAACAAGAAAAACTGGATGAATGCCTCTTTGTAGGGCTGCTGTCAACAGTTGAGCTCATGGAAGGTGAGTGTTACTGTGGTTACCAGAGTCTAGGAGAGATACTAAGTTAGAGTTAGATAGTAGTGAGATATTTTGGTGATATATTGCATAGTAGGGTGACTATAAATAATAATAATGTACAGTATATTGCTCTAAAAACAACTAGAAGAAAGGATTTTGAATGTTTTACCATAATAAATAATAAATGTTTGGGTAGATAGGTATGTTTACCCTGATTGAACATTATACAATGTATACATATATCAAAGCATTATATGGTAACCATCCATATGACCATTTTGTGTCAGTTAAAAATTTAAAAAATAAACATAATTACAAGAACAAAATCTGCTGTAGTATTGGTTTAGAAACAGTATAAGAGTCATTTTGAATTATTAGAGGAGCTCCAAGATGGCAGAATAGGGAGGAGCGCATTGATAGTCTGGGAAAAGATAGTTTAATAAAAGTGGAGATACTGTAGTCTCAGGGAAGAGTTAGGGAAAAAACTGCAGAGGAAACTCTTCCAGAACTAGTGGTACACGGTGGACCTACCTGGGGAGCATGGGCACTCATGGCTTGGGACCCCAGCTGCCAAGTCTACACACCAGTGCTGGAAAGGGAGGTGAAGCAAAACCACAGTTGCTGGAGACACTGGCAGAAAAGTGGCAGGAAGAGCCTAGAGGGAACGAGGCTTAAAGCCCCATGGGGGAAATTTCACCAGCCTAAATAGAGGAGAGAAAAATAAATAAAAGGGACCGGTATGGACACGATTCTCTCTCCACTCACCTAACAAAGACCTAGTGAATGTGTGGAGCTTATGAACTGGGACTGTGAAAACAAAACAAAACAAAACAAAACAACTGAGGGTGTGTGGGAGAACTCATGGTGTGGTTGAGACGTGAGTAGTCTCAGTGGGAGACGCCAAAAACTTGGTAACCTTGGCAACTCGGTGGGAGATATTGCAGGGGAATCTGAGTTTACACTGAGGACTACACAGATCCTTTGTGTGGTCCTTGGGACAGAGCAGACGACTATTATACCCACTGGAGCTCTAGCACTCAGGCACTGATTGCCATCAAGGAGAAGAGCTCAGCTGAGTGGAATTACTTCTCTTCTGAATAAAAAGAGAGAGAGAAAGAGAGAGAGAGAGAGATTTACCGTGCCAAACCTGGGTGTATCACCTTTGGCACACCCTTAACCCTGAAGAACTGAACAGAGCTCTCTGGCCACACCCAACACAAGCCTCTAGAGATTCACCAAAAGCAGACAGTCCACTTAATCTAGAGTCATAGTATAACAAGAAAGGCTACCACAGCGAGAAAAAAAAAGAAACCAAAAAATATCTCCACAATGCCAAACAACAAATGCAGAAACTGAGGAAACAAGAACAAGGAAGACATTATGACACCCCCAAATGAACATGATGCTCCAATACAAGATTATGAAGATGATGAGATAGAAGAAATGCAAGATATGGAATTCAAAAAATTTATTATAAGAATATTCAGAAGTCATAAAAAACAAATTGATGAACTACAGAAATCAATACTGGACAGGATAGAAAATCTCTCTCATCAAAATGAAATCTTAAGGAGGAATCAAAATGAAATGAGGAATTTAGTAGAACATGAAATTGTGATATTGAAGAGTAATCAAAATGAAATGAAGAATTCAACAGAACAAATGACAAATGCATTTGAGAGCCTTAAATACAGAATCAGTGAGATAGAAGAGGGAATATCAGACTTAGAATAGAGAGCACAGGAAAGTATACAGTCAAATCAAAGAAAAGAAGAGGAAATTAGAAATCTAAAAAATATTGTTAGGAATCTACGGGATACTATTAAAAAACCCAACATTCGGGTTACAGGAGTTCCTGAAGGCATGGAGAGAAAGAAAGGATTAGAAGGCCTTTTTAGTGAGATACTAGCAGAGAACTTCCCGGGTTTGGAGAAGGACAGAGACATCCTAGTACAGGAAGCTCATGGAACCCCTAGTAAACATGACCAAAAGAGATACTCACCACGACACGTTGTAATCAAACTCACCACAGTGAAACATAAAGAAAAGATTCTAAAATGTGCAAGGAAGAAACGTCAGATTACTCTCAGAGGATCCCCAATTAGACTCACAGCTGACTTCTCATCAGAAATCCTACAGGCTAGGAAGAAATGGTGAGATATAGCCCAGGTACTTAAAAAACTGCCACCCCAGATTATTATATCCTGCAAAGCTCTCATTTGTGAACAAAGGTGAAATAAAGACCTTTCATAGCAAACAGACATTGAAATAATTTGTCACCACTCGTCCAGCCCTGCAAAAGATGCTTAAAGATGTGTTACGCACAGAAACACAGAAACACAGCCATGAATACGAAAGAAGGTAAAGGAAGAAAATCTCCCAGTAAAAGATCACAGGAAGTTCAATCATATATTAGGAATATCTTTGGGAAAATGGCAGGGCAAAGTCACTACTTATCAACAGTTACATTGAATGTTAATGGCCTCAACTCTCCAGTTAAAAGACACAGACTGGCTGAATGTATTAAAAAGCAAAACCCATCTATTTGCTGCTTATAAGAAACAGATCTTTCCAACAAAGATACATGCAGACTAAAAGTGAAAAGTTGGAAAAAGATATCCCATGCCTACAGAAATGAAAAAAGAGCTTGTGTAGCCATCTTAATATCAAACAAAATAAACTTTAACACAAAAACTGTTAAGAGAGACAAAGAGGGGCACTACATAGTGATTAAGGGGTCAATTCAACAAGAAGATGTAACTTTTTTTTTTTTTTTTTTGGACAGGCAGAGTTAGACAGTGAGAGAGAGAGAGACAGAGAGAAAGATCTTCCTTTTTCCGTTGGTTCACCAAAATGGCCGCTACGGCCAGTGCACTGTGCCAATCCAAAGCCAGGAGCCAGGTACTTCCTCCTGGTCTCCCATGTGGGTGCAGGGCCCAAGGACTTGGGCCATCCTCCACTGCCTTTCTGGACCACAGCAGAGAGCTGGACTGGAAGAGGAGCAACTGGGACAGAATCCAGCACCCCTGGAACCTGGGGTGCTGGCTCCACAGGCAGAGGATTAGCTAAGTGAGCCATGGTGCTGGCCCAGGAAGATGTAAATATTATAAAGGTATATGCACCTAATTACAGGGTACTGGTTTATTTAAAAGATATGTTAAGGGACTTAAAGGGAGACTTAGACTCCAATACAATAGTATTGGACTTCAATAATCCACTTTCAGCAACAGACAGATCAATCAGACAGAAGATGAACAAGGAAACAGCAAATTTAATCGACACTATTGCCCAAATGGATCTAACAGATAACTACAGAACTTTTCATCCTACACTTAAAGAATTTACATTCTTCTCAGCAGTACATGGAATCTACTATAGGATTGACCACATACTAGGCCATAAAGCAAGTCTCAGCAAATTCAAAAGAATTAGAATCATACCATGCAGCTTCTCAGACCACAGTGGAATGAAGCTGGAAATTAGCAACTCAGGAATCCCCAGAGCATATGCAAACACATGGAGATTGAACAACATGCTCCTGAATGAACAATGGGTCATAGAAGAAATCAAAACAGAAATCAAAAACTTTCTGGAAGTAAATGAGGATAACAGCACAACATATCAAAATGTATGGGATAAAGCAAAAGCAGTGTTAAGAGGAAAGTTTATAGCAGTAGGTGCCTACATCAAGAAATTGGAAAGGCATCAAATAAATGAGCTATCAATGCATCTCACAGATCTAGAAAAACTGCAGCAAACCAGACCCAAATCTAGTAGGAGAAGAGAAATAATTAAAATTAGAGAAGAAGTCAACAGGATTGAATCCAAGAAAAACATTACAAAAGATCAGCAAAGCGAAGAGCAGGATTTTTGAAAAAATAAACAAAACTGACACACCATTGGCCCAACTAACTAAAAAAAGAAGAGAAAAGACCCAAATCAATAAAATCAGAGATGAAAAAGGGAATGTAACAACAGACATCACAGAAATAAGAAGAGTCATCAGAAATTACTACAAAGAATTGTATACCAGCAAATAGGAAAATCTATAAGAAATGGATAGATTCCTGGACACATGCAGCCTACCTAAATTGAACCATGAAGACACAGAAATCCTAAACTGACCCATAACTGAGACAGAAATTGAAACAGTAATAAAGGCCCTCCCAACAAAGAAAAGCCCAGGACCGGATGGATTCACTGCTGAATTCTACCAGACATTTAAAGAAGAACTAACTCCAATTCTTTTCAAACTATTCAGAACAATTGCAAAAGAGGGAATCCTCCCAAATTCTTTCTATGAAGCCAGAATCACCTTAATCCCTAAGTCTGAAAAAGATGCAGCATTGAAAGAAAATTACAAACCAATATCCCTGATGAACATAGACGCAAAAATCCTCAATAAAATTCTGGTCAATAGAATGCAACAACACATCAGAAAAATCATCCACCCAGACCAAGTGGGATTTATCCCTGTTATGCAGAGATGGTTCAATGTATGCAAAACAATCAAAGTGATACACCACATTAACAGACTGCAGAAGAAAAACCATATGATTATCTCAATAGATGCAGAGAAAGCATTCGATAAAATTCAACACCCTTTCATGATGAAAACTCTAAGCAAACTGGGTTTGGAAGGAACATTCCTCAATATAATCAAAGCAATTTATGAAAAACCCACCACCATCATCCTATTGAATGGGGAAAAGTTGGAAGCATTTCCACTGAGATCTGGTACCAGATCTTACTCTTTGGTACCAGATGCCCACTCTCACCACTGCTATTCAACATAGTTCTGGAAGTTTTAGCCAGAGCCATCAGGCAAGAAAAATAAATTAAAGGAATACAAATTGTAAGAAGAAGTCGAACTATCCCTCTTTGCAGATGATATGATTCTTTATTTAGGGGACCCAGAGAACTCTACTAAGAGACTATTGGAACTCATAGAAGAGTTTGCAAAGTAGCAGGATATAAAATCAATGCACAAAAGTCAAAAGCCTTGTATACATTGGCAATGCCATGGCTGAGAATGAACTTCTAAGATCAATCCCATTCACAACAGCTACAAAAACAATCAAATACCTTGGAATAAACTTAACCAAGGACGTTAAAGATCTCTATGATGAAAATTACAAAATCTTAAAGAAAGAAATAGAAGAGGGTACCAAAAAATGGAAAAATCTTCCATGCTCATGGATTAGAAGACTCAACATCATCAAAATATCCATTTTCCCAAAAGGAACTTATAGATTCAATGCGATACCAATCAAAATACCAAAGACCTTCTTTTCAGATTTGGAAAAAATGATTTTGAAATTCATAT